TAAGAAGTTGTTGTCTCAGTATTTTTTGTGTAATAAAATCTTTCTGCTTATAGTAAAATCTTAGCTTCACTTAATAATTGGTATTTGGAAAACAAATCTTTATTTTTATGTGTAAAGTGTAATGAGAAAATGAAACAGTTTGATAAGTTAACATTTGGGTGCCTGAATTTCTCAGCTACTGAGGACATTTTTGTTAACACAATATTTGAGCCACTGTTTTGTCTAGTATAAGCCACAAAAAGTATGGAAATGTTATGGGAAATTATCATGAAACTGGTTTACCTGTTCAGATGTTGGAATTTGGCTATTAAATATAAAGTCTATCTTAACACTGAGTCAGAGACTAGGTTTGTCATGTTTTTCCTGTCTCATCTAAATATTTTTTTTGGCTGACCAACTACAAATATTTAAAGGCACACTGTTGAGGGTGAACTTATGATAATTTATGATAAGAGTTTCTGAAACTCAAACGAAACGTCTTTAGTTATTTTTGGAAGGATTACTCATTTGAAACTGCATGCTAATTGAACATGGAACTTTGTAGTTTAACTTTTAAATGACAGACTTTTCATTTGTGAGTGAAAGTATTTTCTTATACAGTTTCTCCAGAGCCAAAAACAGAAATGAAGACCCTGAGATGGGCAATTTCACAATTTGCTTCAGTGGAGAGGATTGTAGGAGAAGATAAATATTTCTGTGAAAATTGCCATCATTATACTGAAGCTGAACGAAGTCTTTTGTTTGACAAAATGCCTGAAGTTATAACCATTCATTTGAAGTGTTTTGCTGCTAGTGGCTTAGAGTGAGTATTACAAATAAAAGCAATATGAAGAAAATAAGCTGCTATATAAGAAGTTTTATTCAAAAAACTACTGAAATGAAGTAATTTATAAAGATTGCTTTGATAAAGTTTATTCTAGTTTCCCTGTAAAAATGCATCAGTTCAAGTCATTTTGGGATGAATACATATTTTGATTTCACACATCTTTTCATTCCTTATTAGATACGGTTGAACTGATTAAAGCAGAGAACAAATTTTATATTCATCAAGATTTTTTTGAGGGGAGAAAAGGGCAAAATTATGTTAGTGTTAAGGTAAGCCAGGAAATCAAACTAATTTTTGAACAATTTGAGAGATTCTCCCATAGTTGAAAATTGAAATATCTAAGACCAATTTAAAAATAAGTATAAAACTGCCAATTACCTTTTGAATAGTCTGACTTTTTCTGACATGTGTGCATGTAATGGCAGTTACTGGTCCTTTCTATATCAGTGAATTGTTTGAAATCACCATGAGGGCTTTCCTGTAGCTCTTCACATATTTTCTTGTGTCAGAAGAATGGCATATGGTTCTTTCAGTGGAGTTCCCCCCCCCCCCCAGTACTATATATTTTTGTCCCCAAATCTGGGAGCTAGACTTCATATTAAAATGACTTAACAGAAAATGATTTTTGGTTTGTCAGGGGTTTTTTTTTTTTTAATGCTATTTATTTTCTTATTGCACAAAATTAAGGGGGAAAAGTGAAAGGGGAAATACAGCTTTCCATACAGCTTTCACAGAAACAACTGAAGCACTTTTTTTTCCCCAGTATTTTAACTTTAGTTAAATATTTTAAGTATATAAAATTGGAGTCTTTTTATTCTTTTGTGTTATTATTAAGGGTTCAGTCAGACTTTGTTTCATCTTGGGTATAACTTGATGTATATAAAGTGGAATTACAGAAAACTTTTTTTTTTCTTCCAAAGGTTTGATTGTTATGGTGGTGGACTTTCCAAGATCAACACTCCTCTATTGACACCTCTTAAATTGTCACTGGAAGAATGGAGTACAAAGCCAACCAATGACAGCTATGGATTATTTGCAGTTGTGATGCACAGTGGCATTACAATCAGTAGCGGGCACTACACTGCTTCTGTTAAAGTCACAGACCTTAGCAGTCTAGAACTAGATAAGGAAAATTTTGTGGTTGGCCAAATGTGTGAAATGGGTAAGCCAGAACCACTGAATGAGGAGGAAGCTAGGGGTGTGGCTGAAAATTATGATGATGAAGAAGTGTCAGTTAGAGTCGGTGGAAATACACAGCCAAGTAAAGTTTTGAACAAAAAAAATGTAGAAGCTATTGGACTTCTTGGAGGACAAAAGAGCAAAGCTGATTATGAGCTATACAACAAAGTATCTAATCCTGATAAAGGTGCCAGTACAGCATTTGCTGAAAACAGAAATTCAGAGACTGACATTACTAATGGGACTCAAGAATCTGATAGAAACAAGGAATCCAGTGACCAAACAGGCATTAACATTAGTGGATTTGAGAACAAAATTTCATATGTAGTGCAAAGCTTAAAGGAGTATGAGGGGAAGTGGTTGCTTTTTGATGATTCTGAAGTAAAAGTTACTGAAGAGAAGGACTTCTTGAATTCTCTTTCCCCTTCTACATCTCCCACGTCTACTCCTTATTTGCTGTTTTATAAGAAACTGTAGAGTGAGTGTATTTTCCTTGTGTATATAAACAGACCCAGACAAACCGGTAATGTTGATTACATCAAAAAGTCTAGCTTTTCTTTTGAAGCTATTGTATATTATTGGTCTCTAGGTTTTTATATAGTGAAATTTGAATTACTGAAAACCATGTTAATTTTTAGAATTCACTTTCCTTAGTAGAGACTAGTGATGTATTAGCTTCTGGGAACAAACTGTATAGGTTGTTAATTGAATTATCCAAAATGGAAGCATTTAAACACTTTTGAATTTACACCTTTTTGTGTTTGCTTTTTAAAATAAAGTGCTTGTATTTGTATCTCCATATTTTGGAGTAATTATCTACATGTTTATAGGTCCTGTGGTTTTACAGCTAAGAAGCAGAATATCATTTCAGTACATTTTGTTTTATAAGCCATGAAGCCAAATCTTTGATGGGCTGTATTAGGGGCACAAAACCTGGGATGTGTGTGTATTCACAATGGTGTACATTTTGTGCCTTGGATCACTTTGAAAGTGTCTCAGAAAACCTGGACAGTCCTATCTTCACAAGAATTTTATATGTATTTATGAAGATTCTTTAGTAAATCTTTTTGGGCATGGACTAATTTGTATCTCTTCATAGTCTTATTCTGCACAATCTGTATATAGTACATCAAACTTAGAGGTGTGACCTTAAGTTTAACTTTTTTAAGAATCAGAAGGTCAATAAAATTTAAAATGCTTAAAAACTATAAATGCTTGCTTTTTTTTTACTATAATTATAGCTGGGTTCTCTTAAAGAACAGTGTGTGTATATGTATGCATAATATATGTTGTATACATACTCAGAGAAGAGAATAAACAGGCACTCATTATTTTAATAATCCTCAGATACTTTTAACAGTTGGAGTGAAGAAAAAGTTGTCCTTTAGAGTGGACATCATGGAATCCAGAACTGGAGAACTTATGATACTTCGGGCACACTAGGCACACACAAAGTGTAAAACTAGGTTACATTTTCATTTTAAATATTCTAAATTGGTAAGTGATCAGTTATATGCTATTGGAATAAGACTTTTATCCCCTTTCAATAAATGGGACTACCTGTCAACTAATTGAATTAGTTAATAGTTAAATGTCTTTCCACAATGTATGATAAAGTCATGGTGCTTACCTCTTTCTACATTGAGTCATTAATGGAACTTTTAAAAAGAAATAGCCTTGAACACTACGTGTAAGCTTCCGATGATGATAAGTTCTAGAGTACAGCCTGGGCTTCTAATATTCTAAAGGGATAGCCAAGGTTAATACTAGTATAGATTCCTGATGGGAGAAAGTTTAAAGAAACTTCAAAGTATATGATAAGTTGCCAAGTGTTCAGTATACCAATGTTTTAAGAGTAAGAGGAAGCCTCTCCTGAGTTGTCAGAAAATAATTAGTAATGCATGATAATTAAATCATTAAAGTTCTTGATACTGTCACTGAGATTGATGTGAAACTGCAAACTCTTACATAAATGTAATCTCATGAGAGATGACCTAGGGATTTACTATTCTCCCTTACATCTACCAGGAAGAGAGTATGTTACCTTCTTTGCTTTAATAAGTTTCCATTCTTAACTCCTGCCTTTCCTTTTTGTTCATCTGGATCCTTTGTCCCCAAACATGTTATACCTTTCTGAGTCCTCTGTTAACCCTTGTGGTCCAACATTGTTGACTCATCTGAATAAAAGCCTTTTCATAATTCAGTCTTTGAAATGATGTCGACAAGAGGAATCTGAGATAATTGCCTGTTTTAAATGTAGGCTGCAGGAGGTAGATATCACTGCCTATGTGCTCTGATCACCTCTGCACTTGGAGGAATCAGATGTGTTGGAGGCTCATTTTCAGTACCAACTACAGAATGAAGGCACTGCTAAATCTGATTTGAGTTCTAAGTCATTCACGTTAACTGGTCAGGAGATCAAAGAAATAGCTATACTACACAAAGGAGGAAACACTTCAAAACACTTCCAGGAATCATGAATGCACTCTTGGAAAAACTTGCCAAGTAATTGAAATATACTTTCAAAAAAATTTTTGCATTAAGTTTTTTATGAAGTTATTTTAAATTGGTTCTTAATTTCAGTTAAAACAATTTTACATGTACTCTAAGATTTACACAAGTTTCAAAAAATATAACCTCTGCTGGTAGATTAAAATTAAATAACTTATTTTTATGGTGATGTAACAGCTTTAAGGCAGATATCTAATTTAACAGTTTAAATCACAAAACTGATGCCAGGCTTGTTTAATTTGAAACAGGAGTCATTAAGTTCATACCACCATCATTAGTATAATAAGGTTGAGAGTCAAAGATCAAGTTACCATCAATGGTGTTAGCTTTCTCAGTACTTGAAGTTATTTTTGCAATTTACTCAAAACCTGCCCTCCTCTTGGTGTCCACATGGAAAACAGCTTAGAAACCAGTTTTTTAGACTTCCCAAACCAGTTGTCAGTATCTTTACCCATTAATTTATTCACTTAATTTGGGACTTGGGCCATATAGTAACAATTTTTATTTTCATTTTGCTAGTTTTTGAACTGGTTCTTGAATCAACTCTAACTTATTCTCTGCCTTTGTCAATAAAGAAATTCTTTAAAGTTCCACTCAGTAAAATTAGTGTAAATGTTCACATATTTAATAGTACCTTTAAAATATGCATTACTACATTTAACACGGTTCCAAAATGAATCTATAAATGGTAATATAAATTAAAAAATACAAACTTAAAGTAAATAAATTTAACATCAGCTATGGTATAAATAATGGTAAATGTATAAGTGTACCTTTGAGTCATTAAAATGCCTTTTAAAAAAGATAACAGCATATTACCAGAACATTAGAAGCCATAGCCATGATTCTCAAACTTCAACAATCTACATTTGATATTGTTTGGGCCACTGCATTCTTCATTGAGTAAATTAATGCTGTAACTTCCAGAATTAAATCCCAAGTCTTATTTTTCAACAGATCTTTTCGCACACAATGTTGAATATGTGGCTCTTTTCAAATGAATAAAACAAGTGTTTATTTTAGAGATCCATTTTGCGCAGGCTCATTCGACTGAAGGAATCTCTGGGAAGAAAATTAAAGGATATAAGTGAACAAATCTTGCACATTTCTTTAAGACAGATTTTAACTTCTTAAGCAAAGCCACACCCTGCTGGTATGGCTCAGTGGATTGATTGAGTGCCAGCCTGCAAATCAAAGGGTCGTGGATTCGATTCTCAGGGCACATGCCTGGGTTGGGGGGCGGGGGGCGGGGGGGGGGGGCACCAGAGGCAACAACACATTGATGCTTCTCCCTCTCTTTCTCCCTCTTCCCCTCTGTCTAAAAAATGAATAAATAAAATCTTTTTTTAAAACAGGTTTTTCTTCTTTTTCCTGCCAGAGTTAAAGCTTTGTGATAAAAAATTTAATAATCTTAAAACTTTTTGGCATCAAAGTTATTAGTAACTTTTCAAGTTACTCTGCCTTATAGATATTCTGGCTCAGATTTTTCTAGATTAAAAATAAATTACAGTAACCATTTTACCAAATGTATTGATCATTTATTCACTTGTCCAATAAATGCATTAGATATAAATAAAACAAGGAACTAAAGGATAATGGGATAGGTTTCAGGAAATAATTTTTTTCTTTGCGGTTGTTAAAAGGCAAAAGACAGGTAGTTTTTATTTACAACATTAAATTCTAACTCTTAAATGAGTAGTGCTCAAACTTTTTACTCCTAAAAACTGAGGGCCCCAGGAAGCTTTCATGTGGATTACAGATACCATATTAGAAATTAAAACTAAGAAAAGTTCAATTCAAATTATTTTACAAAATAATCCATTACATAAGTAGCACTGTTTATTAAAAATAACTTGCAAAATATTTTAGGAGTGGCATGCTTACATATTTAATGTCTGCCTTAATAGAAGGCCTAGATTCTCATCTTTTACAAAGTCATGTTGCATACAGTATCTGGAAAACCACTACTCTCAAGAGAATGACAGTGAAAAGGCAAATAATATTTGGTATGAATAGAAAACTAGATTTGACTCAGGAACCTCCTGAAAGGGTCTCAGGGACCCCTTCCCACAGGAGTCCCAGATCACACTTTGAGAGCCACTACCTCAATACTTTATAATCCAGATTTTGTAAATCAGCAAAATAAACATTTTAAGTTTTATTTTCTAAGCTCTGAAGATGTTAATAGTGAAGAGTAATATTCCTCAATACCTCAATATATTTTCCTTAATTCTTAATTTCTTTTGCTTATCCTTCCTGCTATTAAGGCTAAACTCTGAGATTTACAATCTCTAGGAAAGGAGAAAGGGCAGATACAAAAAATCATGTTCCCCTTTGAATCTCCAAGTGTGGTTTTTGGGTCCAGGGAAAGTAGCAGTATTAAAAGCTACAAGAAAAAAGCTTTTCCAAACTCCAAAAAAATGCGAACATTAAGAACTAAAAAGTTTGGAGGATTGACCATAATGAGATCATAGAGAAGGCAAAACTGAGGATAATCGTGTAAGGGAAGGTTTCATTCAGATAGGAAGAATAATGTCCTTCCACTGCAAAGGGTTGGCGAGACTGGAAGAAAGTGAGAAGGGCATTTGGAATTGCCCGACTACCTCAGGGAGTGGGCTGGCCCGCTCATCCCAGGACCCTTAACCAGAGTGTAAGATCGGTGGAGGGGTCAGAGGCAGCAAGGAGGCAGAAATTTCATAACGACTGAAGAAGTGGAGGGGATTTGTGTTGCTTCCCACTGGTAATCTGAAGAGGAATCACCTACGGTATTGCATCAGTATAGGATGATGGAAGCAAAACAATATTTTGCCACAGGAAGGATCTGAAACAGGCCCTGTGGTCTCTGTTCTTGGATATTGTGGAGTAAATTCAGATAATCTACATGCTTCCTGTAGGGGGCATGACATACAGCAGGCACTTAGTAGACAGTTTTTTGAATGAATGTATGCTTTTTTCCAGAGGTCTAGAGGTACACAAAGATTACCGAGGAACAAGGACTAATTCCCAGATAATCAAATAGCCAGTTTAACTTTTTTTGTAGTATATTATAGAGTGTATTTTCATTCTGTTTTCTTATAAGCAATTTCAAAGGCCTTCCAAATATTAATCAGGTAAGTAGAACTTAGTGGCTTTACTGTTACTAATGCAAAGAAAAGGGTGGTAAACTATTGGTGCCACAACAATTCAAGTTTCATATACATTTGGATTTCAAAATGAAAAAAAAAAAAAAAGCAGTTTATCTTTAACAGTTAGGATGCCCTTTCCAGAATTCAGGTGCTAAAAAATAAAAAGTAAAATGTTAAGCACTATCTTTGCAAATTTACACATCATTTTATGTAAGAAATGACATGTAAACAACCCTTGTAAGGTAAGAAATTTTAGAGAAATCTAAAAATTGGATTAAATTACCTGCTCAAGTACAACTAGTATCAGTTGTAGAAAATTCCAAGTTATTTCATTTCTAACTTTCTTCACACTTAGAAAGTAGAGAAAAGCATTGAAGCCTTCTTGATATTCAGTGGGGTTACCTGTTTTAATACAAACTGCATACTATTCAGTGTCAGGGCTGAGAGAAGTAAGTGCTTGGCTCTTGATATGTTCCAGTGAATTCTTCCACAAAAATACCAGAAAATGTGACAGGACTTTAAAAGAAATAGTTTTAAGAGGCCAAACTTATCACGTGTGGCATCCTGGTTACCGTGAGTACTTTGTGATCTTGAATTACAGAAAGAACTGACTTATCTTGGAGGATGATTCAGGTAGAAATGATAAAGGGTTTATACTAGCTGAACCTATCAGGAGACACGATGTCTGAAACCATGTAGTATGAGTTATACCAATTCACTATTAAATAATTCAAGATTTTATTTTTATGAACATGTCCAAAATAACAGAAAAATAAGCATACCTGTGGCAGGTGATAGGTAATACCGCCTTATATAACTGAGGGATCTTTCTGTTTATCAGAGGCTGCAGCGCCTCTTTAAGACGATGATAATTTCTTTCCAGTTCCCTTTGATATTCCTTTTGATCTGGTCCAATTAAGCTCTTATTTTTTCTTAAGGCATCCTCACACCTAGAAAAAATCGTGTGCTGTCAAAAAATTTCTTCTGGCATAGTTTGAGGGCTTAGTGATAAATATATATTTTTACCATGATGAAGACATTCAGTTTCCTGGTTGGATGTTAAATATCCTGCCTTGTATCAGGTTTAAAAAAAGGGAACAGATGATCAGCTGAGTTCCTTAAAAATTAACATTCACTTCTAGTTTTCATTTAATTAAAATTACATATCTTTATTCAATGAAAATTATATATTTTTAAATGTTAAATCTGAAGCCATTTTGTTTCTCACATATCACCACTGAACTAAAAGCTCTTTAAGGGATATAACCATACTCATCCAGGAGGCACTGAAGGCATCTGGCAAAGCGGTTTGCCTGTGTTCAAATAAATGTTTCTTAAATGAATAGCTCCTGAACACTTTATTCAGAAACTGAAGAAAAAATATCTGGAATCTGATGGATAAATGAAAGGGATACGAAAAGACAATGTGTGTATATATATATATATATCACTACTTACAGAACATAGCTAAAGTGATGCTCAGAGGAAAATGTATAGCCCTAAATGCTTATATTAGAAAAACAGTGAAAAGTGAAGAGCTAAGCAACCTAAAAAGAGCAGAATAAACTTGAAGTATAAGGCAGGAAATAAATTTAAAAGTATGATGGCTTTACATCAACGCATACAAAAGCTGTTCTTTGGAAATAAAAGAAGTGCTGGCAAGATTAAATGAGGAAGGCTAATTACCTCTTGCTAGAAATGAAAAATGAGACATAAGGTCAGGTTTATAAAGGTACAGAGAATATGTACAATTTAACACAAACCTGAAATGATACTTTTGTAGATTAATATAATTTATGAAAACAGACCTAAGAAAAAACACGAATAATCCTAAAACCATCAAATACATCAAATCAGTCAAATCACGAATCTATCCACAGAGAAACCAACATGTAAATTCTACCAAAACTGTAAGGACAGATACTCCCAATGCGACAATTACTTCACAGTATGTATATATAAAAAAAATCCAGAGTATAGGGGAAAACAAAAAAGTATTCCTGAGAAGAGCTTGCAACTCATTTTTCAAGGTTTGGATACCAAAACCTAGTGGAGACTATAAGAAAAAAATGGAAATTCAATCTCACCCATAAAAACAGCTGTAAACTCAAGTAAAATAATAGGAAACTGTTTTACCAAATATCACACATACACACCCCCCCATTTGATAAAAGTTTTAAATTTGTTACGATAAAAACTTTTAACCACAAATAGGTGGGAGCATCTTTAATTTAATTAAAACATCTACAAAATCCCCCTGAAGTAAACATTACACTTAGTGGTAAAGCATTCCTTTCAGATCAGGAGCAAGAAAATGGTGCCTCTGCTACTATTACTGGTTAACATGGTGCCAAAGTTCCTAAACATCACTGTGGAAAAGGTCCTACAGATTGATTATTAGAATGAACCAGTGAGTTTGGCAATATTACCATGTAAAATACATAAAATTCAAATGTGTTTCTGTATGTCAGTAAACCAAATTTTTAAAATTTAAAAATACCAGTAACCAAAAACATAAAAGTATGGAATACCAAGGAATAAATCAAAAGCTATACAAGGCCTCTGCAGAAAATTAAAATAATATTAAGAAAACATTTAAAGATCATCACCAAACCCTCATTGTATGAAATGTTAAAGGGACTTATCTAAGAAAAAGAAGAGAAAATATGAACGGTAAAAAGACAGCAAACTCACAGTTATTAACAACCACACCTAAAACAAAAGCAAACTAAGCAAACAACTAGAATAGGAACAGTAACACAGAAATGGAGATCACCTGGAGGGTTAGCAACAGGGGAGTGGGAGGAGGAGAGACAGGAAAAAGGCACAGAGAATAAGCATAGATGGTAGGTAGAAAATAGACAGGGGGAGAGTAAGAATAGTATGAGAAATGTAGAAGCTAAAGAACTTACAAGTATGACACATGGACATGAACTAAAGGGGGGAATGTGGGTGGGAGGAGGTATGCAGGGGGGAGGGGAATGAAGGAGGGGAAATGGGACAACTGTAATAGCATAATCAATAAAATATATTTTTAAAAAAGCATTTAAAGATTTAAGTAACTGGAGAAATACACAGACTATTGTTCACTGTCAACCACTTTCCCACATTTTCTCTTTTCAATTGTCCCTTAAGACCCTTGCACTGTGGTTTTGGACATTCTCAATGTGAAGATCTTTATGTAGGAAACCTTGAATACCTTTTAGTAAAATCTTTGAAGCACAGTCGCAGTTTATTATGATGCCTGAAGAGTTTTGGGTCACTGGGTATTTCAGATAGGAAAACCTGGGCAACTTCCAAAGGTCCCTGTAAAATAAAAGAAGAGGTGTGTTTTGTTTTCTCTGAAATCCTAGAGATGGAAGTTACCTGAATGAGTTTTCTTAGCACTGAGATGGCTGCATTTAAACTTAATGCATGTATGTCTGTGCCTCCATTAAAACTCTTCAGAGTCTGGCAATATGTTTTTACAACAGTTTTTCCTAATGTCAAATCTATATTCTTGCCTACTGCATTTAAATTAATTTATTAGTGCATTTTTCAAAGAAGAAGAGTAGGAGCTCAAGGAATGGCTATTGTATGCATTAATGTATGCTGTCTTGTATTTTTTACATTCTTTAATTTATCCTCAATGTAAAAGTCTTTGGGCTATTGGCAATCTATTGTTAATCCAGATTATTAGGCTTCATTTCCTGAAACATTTCCTCAGTATTCCAAATGTGTTCCCCAAACTGTGGATTAAAAAAGATAATCTTTTGCAAATTACATTATTTGGAGGTAAAGTCTCCAAATCATGTATGTCTTAGGGGGTAAAAGTCTTAAAATGTTCACTTCAGTTTTTGCCTTTGTTCCTCTAACTTAAAAAATAGAGTCAGACATATTATATGAAATCTTACTTGAAGCCTGTCTGGATTTTCCCTTACCTTGGAATATTCCCCAATCACCAGTAAAGAGATAATGGGGATGCCTTCTAATCTACATATGAAAAATCAACAATATTACATTTCATGTACATACAGTATTAAAAATTTCAAAATGATTCCACATTATTTATTTACTCCTCACAGTTCATTGTGGAGATCTAGAGAAAATAACATCAAGGCGTGTCTAAGAGAGCAGGTGTTCACATGCACGTATGTGATTCTGAGAATGAACGCTCCATTTGAGAGTACATTCTTTCAGTACAAGCTTTGAAAGGAAAAGCTATTTAGAGTGAATCAATTCCTTCTTAATGGAATGTTTAAGAACAGGTAGATAGAAAAACACAGGTGGTACAGAAGGCAGGCGTGAAACCTTTACAACTGAGATTATACTATTTTTGTTTTTTAGTTTACTTTCATTTATACTTTCAGAGTCTTTTGCAACCAGTTGAAAACACTATCTTTTTCAATTGTTTTGGCTCTTATTCAAGATCTTTGTAAAATGTAAAAGTAAAATCATTCCAAATTCAATTCATAATTGAAATCAAAGAGTACCAGCAGAATGCACTAACTTGATTCACAGTCGTGCCTACAGATCCCTGGAGTACCATCTGAAGCATTTTGGGATCTGCGGGATCCTGATGTGTAGCAAATGCCAACTCCTGTGTCTTTTTCTGCATGTCTTCGATAGCAACTTCAATTGGTGTTAAGATGATCTGGATAAAATGACATCTATTAGGTCACTGTACTGGGAACTATTTAATGAGCTTTAAATTCAATCAGCTAAAATAAGGCAAACATTGGAGACCAATTATAAACTGTCATCTAACAATAAATTCCATACTTTGGATGCCTTAATGAAAAACAAAGTAAAAAGCTGAGGGTGAACTAGGGACTTAGGAAAGAAGTTTAAAGTTAACGACTCAAAAATGAGTAAAGTTCTAGTATGTAAGCACGTGAAGGGTGGCACATGACTGTTCTTACGTGTATTTGTTTCACCAATTCTGTTTCCTCATTTGTGAACTTACCTCTTCTTTAAGGGTAACATTGACCCTTGTCTTAATATAAGGAAAAGCATGAGAAGTAGTCAGAATGGTCTTTCGTTTGAATTGTTCATGAAGTTCCCCATGGGCACGACCGTCTAAAGTAAAGGGTGTACAATACATGAAACGGCGAAGATTATAGTTTTTGTCAAAATATGTAATTCTGTCCTTCATCTCATATGTGTCAAAGTATGGCTCCACGTAGGTAATCTGAATATATGCCTGGGAAAGGAAAAAGTCCTTCATTTTCTCACAGTTAAATCAGAGAGCCTCAAAGCTGTGCCTGTATGTCATTACAGTCCAATCAACCATACCTTGTTAGGGTCTAATTTACACTTGTCTACAGGATTAGAATCTTTGATTACTTCAACCACATCCTCTCCAAATCTTTCTCCATAAAATCCCTACAATAAAGAAAAAGAAATCTTTTACATGAAGTTAACAGTATTAGAGACTAGAGAAGGCCTCTGAGAAAAACTGAGCAAAATTAGTGTCTGTACAACCATGTTAACAACTACGAGTAAATATAGTTAGCCTGCAAATTAGCCCAATTTCATTTGATATTTATTTATTTGATATTATCCCTATGTACTCTCTTTAAATAAACAGTAGAAGAAAACAACAATTTTCTTCAACAAAAATATGGGATTCCACAGGAGGCTCCTTAAGAAAAACAAAAAGGGAACAGAAAGCAGAGACAAAAGAAACTGAGCATCTCTGATGTACAGGATCTTTTATTGAGATTAATGTGGCCTGATTTCTTGTAGACATGGGTCAATGAACTAGCATTCATGAATGATTTAATGCAGTGTTCCAGAATTTTCAAATAAAAACACTAATCTGTTAAAGTTTCATACGGGTTTAGATTGTGAAAAGGCAACCCTAGGTCATGAATGTATGGACTGTCCCACATGACACTGAGTAGCAGCATGGGCAATGAATGGAGCTATTCAAAAGGAAAAATTAAATCTGAATCTTCAAAGGAGAAACCCTACTCTTCCCCCAAAGATAATTTTTATGGTTAAGTTTGAGAAATAATGTCTCAATTACTATTTCCCAAGACTTACCTAGTCTCTGAAAAACAAAAAGTCATAGTTTAAGTCAATCTATGGAAGCAGAGCCCAATAAGGCCACAGATAAGAATAAAATACTCAAGAAATTATTGATAACATCAGCTGAGAATAAAAACAAGCCTAGAGCAGTGTTTTTCAAGCTCTTATGTGAATAAAAATCACCTAGGGATCTTGTTAAAATGCAGATTATGATTTAAAAGGTCTGGGATAGGGCCTGAGATTCTGCATTTCAAATAGTCTCCCAGGTAATGCCAATTCTTCTGGTTCCTGAAGCACATTCTGAGTGACAAGAGTAGAGAAAGGTTAGAAGGACCACTATAGCAGAAAAGATTGCTTAGCCTAATAAGAATGAAAATTAATCATTTATGGTGGAATTGAGAAACTTCATATGTGAAAGTTAAGGGGTCCTAAGAAGTGTTTTCAAGGTGCGATTTCAGGCTTTTAAGTTTTAAAGATGTCTCACTGGAAATTGCTTAAGCCAAAAAGATAAAGCTCTTGGGTCAGAAGTTTTTTGGGGTTCTAGTTTCATCATTAGTTGTTACTTAATTCTTTATGCCTTTTTCTACAAAATGTGGACAACACCATATACATTTCTCCATAAAGCACAGTAATTCTGAAAGGTATAGGGATTTCTAAAATGTGTGAAAATAGTCTTAAAACATAAAGAATATTATTTTTATCATTGCCATAAAAGATTTGAAATATTTAAAAGAGTATATTGTACTTATTGAAATTCCTTATAATCTAAAGGAGCAGTTTATTTGGCAGGATCTGGATTATTAAAAGAATAGATCTGAATAGGAAAGTCTATTCATCGTTGCAAATTAAAGGCGACATTTTATGAACCACCGTGGCATTCACCTCCAGCCTGTGAGAGATCTCTGCAAGTTTGGTTATGGCGGGCTCCTTGTAAACAAATTCCTGTTCGTCCAAATCCCCGAACTTGGTTCCATAAAAACCAACACGAAAATAGGTGCCAAACATCCGCTTACCATCCTAGGTTTAGGAAAATAAAGAAACTTTAATATGAAGTCTTTTTGTTTCTCACATTATGTTTAAATTACTGTAGTATAACATTCCCGAAACATGGCAAAAAAGTTGAATTCAAAATTACAATATTTTATTTTTTCTCAAATGAAGGTAAATGAAGGTAAAAACAAAGCAAATCATCTTTCTTTTTTCATTATTTCTAACAAATAGCATTAAGTAATTGGGCTCTCACCAAGTGGATAAATCACATATGGTATATGCTTTTGAAGGTTTGTACCAAGTGACTACTTCATGTTGGTTTATGTTTTAAGTCTATACATTTGAAACAAATTCACTTTTTTCCTTGCTGCAAGAAAAGATGCTTGGTATAATATAAACTGTGTCTTAACAGTCCTGAAATTAGAGCATACTACATAAAAACACTAACATTTTTAGTTAACAGCCTTATATAATCTCTACATATATTAAATCAGACCGTAAAAGTCAGGAGCCAAGTATAGCACTGGCACAGAGAAAGACAGTCAGTAAGTGTCCAGACCATCCAGAAGCGCTAAAGCAAAAGTTTACAATCAGCATCCCTGTGCCAATAAAAGTATTTTTGTTTAGACAAGTAACTAAAGAGGGAATACAAAGGGGGAAACGTAAGAGTGAAAGATAAAGGAAAAAAAAATTGAGAAGAGCTGGTTATTCTAAAGTCCCCAAACCACCCACTGCATACATTAAGCACACATTCATTTCAAGTATGAAGTACACTAAGTTACTTTTACAAACTTGGAAACAAATTCCTTCAATAAAGATGAAATAGTTGGAAGCTTCTTATGCAATTCTTTCAATGTAGATACAAAGATATTCCAGAAGGATTTTGTAGTGGCTCCTATATACACAGACACATAAGTATTTAAGCCTAATCTGTCTCTTATTTTTCCTATATTGAGTTCTTTATTGAAAAGGCATGTAAAATAAATCACAAGTATCAGATAACTAAGCAAAATGGGGAACTCTGATCCTTCATTTACCAGTTTTTTAATACCAAAAAAAGAGAGAATACAGTGACTAAAAATACCCCACATTTTTGTCTAGAAGAATTAGTTTTCTTTAAGTCTTTGGAGTTAAAGAAACTTGAGGTTTATAATTTAAAGTTTTTCACAAGGGATTTTATTTCAAAATTTAACAGACATAAAAATTAACTGATCTCTATAGCAAAAGAAATCTTTCTAGATAGATCAAATGTATTCAACCAAAATTATGATGAAAAGCATCAACACACCAATGGAACAGTAAAATAATAGCAAATTTTGAAATAATCAATGAACAAAGAAAGCACTACATAGAAAATAAGAGCTATTTGAGAAAACTAATGATTTGTGATTTTAAAAAATATCATACACATATTTCTACATATATTAAAATATTTCCTTCCAGAGGTTTTCAATTTAAAAGACTATTTCAAATCTTCAATATTGTAGCCTTTTAAATATTTAAAGACAGCTATGCCAATTTATTTCCTTTATCTAAACTTCCCAGTTCTCAATCATCTTCATATGACAGTAATTACTATCCTGTTTGCATTTTTTTGTTTGTTTGTTTTTTAGTGCCACCTTTTAAAGTGCATTATCTTAGAAAGAGATACATTACTGTAAGATCTGATCTGATCAATGAGGCTCACTGCTTCCCTGGACCTGGGCTCGAGTTTTATTAATGCATCTTAAAATTGAACTACTGAGCACCCGTTTACTTTCCACATAAACACTCAGTTCAAGGAAAGACACTGAGTGCTTATGATATGTTAGCCACAATTTATCAGTAAAAGGAATATAAGATTTGGCTCCTCAAAAGAGTAAAAAAAAGTATTAAAATAATTACAAAATAAAGGGTTATGTGCTACAATCAAAAAGCTATATTGAGAAACATTAATCCTATTGGAGCCAGGTCACAAAGGAGGTGACACACAGACAGGGTTCTACAACTCACAGACTGAAGAGTGGACGTGGGAGGAAAGGAAAGGACGTTGCAGCAGAGAAAGAAGGAACAGAAAGAAAAATACAAAGTCACAAAACAGAACGTATGAAAGGCAAACCATCCACTCACATATTTCAGTGCCTACTATGTGTCAGCAAACTCTTCTAGACATTTGTGATGAATCAATGAACAAAAGAGACAAAGAGAGTGGTCAAGATTGGTCTCATCGTGAAGGAAGTGGGAGTTACTCATGTGGATCTCCAGCAGAAGTGGATTCCTGGCAGAGGATAGAGCCAGTGCAAAGACCCAAGGGCCGAAGCCTACCTGATGTGTTTGGGGAACAGGAAGGTGGACTGTGTGAGTGAAGCAGATCATAGAGGTAACTATATGGAGTTACCGGAATTGAAAACGGGGCGGGGTGGGGGGGGGTTAGAAAATGAATGTGTATACTAAAGTGGAGGAGGAAGCAGCAAAAGACGAAACATTAAGAGTCTGAGTAAATTTATTTTCAATTTAGGTCTCTAGTGTCAAACCACTGACCCTATCAGGTTCATGAAAGCATAATACATGGCTTCATCTTTAGGAAAAACATCACTTCATCTTAATTTCCTTTTCAGAGTTTTGGACTATAGGATGATATCTGTTTTTCCTGTGAATTTTTAAAAAATCCACTTTCCTATAATCTAGCCTATGTCTTTCTAACATTATTTTCTCTTACTGTTACAAACTCTTTTAAAATTTTCCATCATTTCCACACTTCAACTTATTCTTTGTTAGCAGTTCTACTTACTGATTCTAGTCTTATGGGTGATGAAACTATGTCCCACACAAGGTAATCTACCTATTCATCCATCCACGTCTCTAGTGGATGAAATCCCTTATGACAAATGTATCTTAAAGCTATTCTAGTTTCTTAAATCTGTATTTCATAAGAAACATTCTGTTGAGCTGGTTATATTCTTCCACAATGACATTACTTCTATAACTTATTTTATCCTCACCCAATTATTTTCCACTATCCTTCCTTCAAGTTAACTGATTTCCATATAGGCACACCAATATTTCACACAGTGGTAATTCCCTTCCCTTCTATTAGATACATTCATCTTAAAGAACATATTCACTTTTACCAGTTTATTCAGCCACAGATCTTAACTTGGGAACCTCTTAGATTTTATTAACCAAATTATGTTAGGATTTCAAGTAATAGTAAAAATAATGATGATGATAACAATAAATGTAATAACAACAAAAATAATAATCTCCAACATTTTTGAGTACTTAGCATATGCTAGACACTGGCTACCCACTTTATATGCATAATGTCAATTTTTATCACAACACTGAGCTGGGCATTATTTCCCACTTCATTTTAGGATAAGGAAAAGTAATTTGTCTGAGTTCACACTTGGGAGACCATACTGTGGTGGAGCTGGGAGTTAAATCCCAATATATTTGACACCTTAGTCCAGGTTCTTGTTAAAGCTATATAATCCATACACTCTACTGGTATACAAACACTAGGACATATGTATATATACCGTCTTATATTTCTCTGATGTTTTCCTTGAGGATTTGTGAGAATTTCCTTGAATAATTACTTGGTATTTCTCTCCCATGTTTTGTCTTCCTCTAACTTATAACACTGTCCTCTACTGTAAATACAAATTGTCTACTTCTGAATATAAATTGATCATTATTTGGTAAAGAGATAAATTTATCCTTTAAAAATGAAATACACAAAATGTGAGGTTATAAAAATTCCATATAGCCCTAGCTGGTGTGGCTCAGTGGACTGAGCACCAGCCTGGGAATCAAAGGGCCGTCAGTTCAATTCCCAGTCAGGGCACATGCCTGGGTGGTGGCCAGGTCCCCGGTTGGGGGCACATGAGGGGCAACCACACACTGATGTTTTTCTCTCTCTCTCCTTCTTCCTTCCTACCCCTTCCTAAAACAAAAAGTAAACAAAATCTTTAAAAAAGAAAAATTATTTAAAAAATAAAATTAAAATGTCCATATAGAAGCTCAAAATTTTTTTAATAAAAATTATTTAAAATGCAATCATAAGAAATGGTTAAAACAAATTTTATTTTCTATTATTTAAAAAAATAGACTAGAGAGTGCTCATTTTGGCAGCAAGTACACTAAAATTAGAACGATACAGAGAAGATTAGCATGGCCGCTGTACGAGGATGACACGCAAATTCATGACGTGTTCCATATTTTTGAACAGTAAAATGACAACAAACTCACAACTATCAACAATCGAACCTAAAAAAACAAAAGCCAAAAACAAAAACGAACTAAGCAAACAACTAGAACAGGAACAGATTCACAGAAATGAAATTCACATTGAGGGTTATCAGCAGGGAGGGGGATGGGGGGAGTGGGGGTAGAGGTACAGGGAATAAGAAGCATAAATGATAGGAAGAAAATAGACAAGGGGAGGTTGAGAATAGTATGGGAAATAGAAAAGCCAAAGAACCTATATGTGTGACCCATGGACATGAACTAAGGTAGGGGAATGCTGGTGGGAGGGGAGTACAGGGTGAAGAGGAACAAAGGGGAGAAAAAATGGGACAACTGTAATAGCATAATCAATAAAATATATTAAAAATAGATTGGGGAAAAGAAACAAATAAAAATGAATAGTCATCAGCCATCAAGGCACTGAAACAGTCATAGCAGATTAGTAGCCACCACGATTCATGAAGGGTTCATGATTTGCTATTTTGCATGGTAAATACTTTACAAATTAATTGCTAACTGTCAAGTTTTAGAGTTACCTTTTACATACAGTATACACAAACCCATATTCCCGAAAAGCTCTGCCAACTGAAACAATTTGTACCAAATCAAGGAGCATAATGAAAAATGAAACACATTGCTAATATATAAGCCCAGAAGGCTTTTCCTACAAACCAACGAGTCATTCTACAATGAATCAATTATTCTTACTGAATTTAAACCCAGTGAGAGTTTTTTGAGACTACTAGGAAATTAGCTAGGAATCATAGTTTTTATAGAAAAAATGAAATTACTGAAGTTTTCCAAGTCAAAAAGAAAAATATTCACAAGATAGAAACTTACCACAATAGACAATAGTAAAAGTAGGGAGTAGGGTCAGCAACCAGGGGCAAGAGAGAAGAGAAAACAGAAAGCATTTTAATTAGGGAAATTTCAAAACAAATAAGCAGCAAATGGTAGCAAACACATTTTTAAAATGCAAGCATCCATTTAAGTTTTACAAGGAAAAAAGCAAAAAACAAGCGTGCAACAATCTTAGAAGCTACAAAGCTAAAGGTCCAGTGAAAGGCAGTGACAAGATATAAACAAGAAAATAAAGTCTGTGTGACTTTTACCATGCAGTAATAAACATGATGACAGAATGATATTAATGTCATAACCAGTGAAAATTGTACCTTTCAGGGGTCGATTTAGCATCAAGCAGACTATTAATAAACTGCTCAGAGGTTTCCATATATCTTCTTTTATGCTTACTTTGCAACTAATTCCATTTTGACAGGAAATCCATAAGGAGCTTTATCACTCATAGATAACCATGGCAAGTCTCATTATATATGTCTTAATTAGACCCAGAAATGAGGGATTCCACAGTAGGTACTAATAAGGTCAAACACATTTAATCTGGAGAATTAAGGTAGATGTGAAAGTACAACAGCAAAAGGTGGGAACCAATTCAGAAACGGAAGAAAATGCAGTAGTAACATTTATTCCTAAGGTTTTCGATTTGGATCCCAAAACAAGGATACAAAACCAAACAGAGAAAGCCTAAGCTGTTCAGTCAACATAAACTTGACTTCCAAGTGAGAGGCAAAGCACACAACTTTACAAGTATACCTAGTTTTATATAAATCTGATTTATTAATACCTTGCTTTACCTCATCAAAATAAATTAAAATGCATTTTATAGAATTCTTTCCTTTACAGAAAAAAATTAAAACAATGGCAATCAATTTCTTCCTGGAATTTTTCAGGTAAGATTTTATTTATATATAACTTTTCATGAGCCTAATCAGTTACAACACAAAAGGAAGCACACATAGTTTTCATTAAACATTATCATCAAACGCTGTCAGAATATGTGGTCAAATTAAATTTTAAGTTCTCTCAATCTCTTTATTCCTCCCTCCAACAAAATTTAAATGACAAAAGTGAATTTATTTCCTCAACAGAGCTTAAAGTGACTCTTTCATCAATTCTAAGATGCACATTTTTTGGCCCACATTTTAATGTCTCTGTAGTTGGCATTCACCTTTCAACTGATAGGATGTTGTGGTTTAATACAGAGGTTTCTGGTTTTTTTACTAAAGGCATACAAAATAAAGGTATGTCTTACAGTTGATGGCATCTTAGAGCAGATGAATACAGTATTTTTCTATTTACACCTCTGAGCAATAACATATAAATCGACCTCTGTAAAATGAGGTGAAACAACACGGTTAAAAAAAGAAATCTGTGTGTAAATGTTGATGAAAGAAAATGCTTCAAAGGATAAAAATGAACTAACGTGATGACAAGTGGCTCATTTACCAAAGAATCTCATTAGTGTAACATGGATTTCCATGCACTACCTACACCTCTTAATAATAAATTAAAAAAAAAACCCATACATTATTTTAACAAAATTTCTTTGGTTAATGAATTCAGTTGATAGCAGATAGCAACAGAATGCCCACAGCTAGCACATGTGGGCAAAGCATCGGCATGAGAAATCTGATCAAGTCAATCAATCTATTAGTGTCTTTAACTAACTAAAACATTACCTACCTCCCAGCCAGTACTCTGTATAATAAAAAGTAAAAAAGGGCAGGTCATAAAAAAAAAACTGTTTAAAAAGAACAAAAAAAGGCCAAAGGAAGTTCAGTAGTGTAAAGATACCATATACGATAAATTCTTCTCCATAAATAGAAAACACTAGGATATTTTTAAAGACCATATTCTTCCCCTTTTAAGAGCTCTGACAATTTTATAAATTGTTTTTCAAAACCTAATAACTAAATTTCACCTTTTAAAAATGAAATTTCAAACTGAAAGTACACATTTTTTGGGGAAAGAAAACCAATTGCTTGTTCCTTATTTGCATCTAAATTACAACTCTAACTAAACTCAGCTATACTTCACTGAACTACCCAGGGTAAGTTGGAATAGAAATTGCAATTTTGCTTAAATACCTGGGGTACAAATACATGAAAATTTCTTGGAATCTACTTGCTCTAGATGTTCCAGACCTGACCTGTATAATTTGCAGTTTACAGCTCTAGACGCTTTGACAGTATGCATATAACTGCTTGTAAAAAAGACCCACCTGTTATGATTATGAATCCTAGTAATTCTTCTGGAATTTCAATATTTTAACAGATGACAGTAAAATTCTGGCATAACAGTATAGCAGCCCTATTTTAAGACTTAAAGTTTTCAGATTGTATCAATTCATCTAGAACAGCCTAGTCCATGGCAAGAAAGTGGAGGTCAGGCTGAGAGATGATAAAGTAGGACTAGTACTGAATACAAAAGCGGATATTTGATATTCCACTTCCTCTTAGATACCCCAGTAACAGATAACAGCACAGGCGGTACAGGGAAGGAGCAGTGACATGGAGGAGGAGAAGGCTCAACAGGATGCTTCAGACTATTTAAATGGAGCCAAGGATTTAGTTTCAGGGACATCGACTACTAATAATCTAATTCATTTTTAAACCAAGTTTATTTTGATTTTAATTTTTGTGGTAATATGAGGATTCCATAAACTGAAATCATACTATTATAATTGAATAAACATAAGACAACCATTTTATTCATTATATTCATATTAGAAATATATCAAAGGATGACTGAATGGAAACATCTAAGAAAAACAGTTCAGTTGAAATCACAAAATACTAGGGGTTTATTAAACTTTCACATCATTTAATAAAAAATAAACTTAAATATAAAAAACTTTTTGGCAGCAAAGGAATAGAAATCAACTTAAAAATCAGATTCATAATTATAACTCAGTGTGAAACAGAAAATAACTCACAATTTAAAAAAATTTGGCAACTACTATGAATTCCAAAAAGTAGAAAAAGAAAAGCTATGTGTAAAGTTCATGATGATTTTTATCTACTTTATGTAAATTCATTTTTCTGTTAATAAACCTTGCTTTGGTCCTGAACCATCATTTTGACACTGTTCATTTGTAACCTGATTAAAACGGTCATTCGATGGGATCTAGTTTGACATCAATACAATGCATCACACTAATGCTTCTAGACAGTTTTCTCCATTTACACTGAAGCTAGAAATTGCAATCATTACCTGATGAACAATTTTGCTGAATGCTTCCTGAAGTTTACCATGAATTGTGGATAATTTCTTTGCGTCCCGATTAGCTTCATGAATAGGAATAAGTACTTTGTACACCTCGTTAACTGCCTCATACATGCCAGCCTATAAGAAAAGATATTGCTTTCTTTTATACCACTAAGAAAGTAAATACTTACAATTTATAAGTCTACAATATTGCTGCTAAAGCAATACCACTAAGGCTTTTCCAAAAGCACATAAAAACAAATAATATTAATTTTTAATTTTATTAAAGCTTAATAAAAAATTTTTGCACAATATATTGTCTCCTCTAGATGGATGGATATACATGTAAGTTTGAATGTGTGTACATTTAACATACATACACACATATGTATATTTATATAGTTTTGATCTTTTTCTTAAGTCCCTTTAACATTCCCTATAAAAATGGCTTGGTGATGATGAACTCCTTTAGCTTTACCTTGTCTGGGAAGCATGTTATCTGTACTTCAATTCTAAATGATAGCTTTGCTGGACAGAGTAATCTAGGTTGTACATTCTTGCTCTTCATCATTGAATATTTCTTTCCAGTCCCTTGTAGCCTGCAAAGTTTCTTTTGAGAAATCAACTGACAGTCTTATGTGGACTCCTTTATAGGTAACTATCTGCTGTTCTCTTGCTGCTTTTAAGATTCTCTCTTTATTTTTAACCTTTGGCATTTTAATTATGATGTGTCTTGGCATGGGCCTCTTTGTGTCCATCTTATTTAGGACTCTCTGTGCTTCCTGGACTCATCTGTCTATTTCCTTCACCAAATTAGGGAAGTTTTCTTTCATCATTTTTTCAAATACATTTTCCATTTCTTGCTGTTTCTGTTCTCCTTCCAGCACCCCTATGATTCAAATGTTGGTACATTTGAAGTTGTCCCAGACATTCCTTACTTTAGCCTCATTTTTGGGGGGATTCCTTCTTCCTATTGTTCTGATTGCTTGCTTTTTCCTTCCTTATGTTCCAAATCATTGATATGATTCTTGGCTTCATCCACTCCACTGTTAATTCCCTGTAAATTTTTCTTTATTTCACTTAGTGTAACCTTCATTTCTGCCTGGGTCTTTTTTATGCTGTTGAAGTACTCAATGACTTCCTCGAGCATCCTCATAACCAGTGTTTTGAACTCTGCATCCAATAGATTGTTTATTTCCATTTGTTTCATTGTTCTTCTGGAGTTTTGTTCTGTTCTTTTATTTGAGCTATATTTCTTTGTCTCCTCATTTTGACAGCCTCTCTGTGTGTGTTTCTATATACAGGTAGAGCTACTTTAACTTCCTGTCTTAGTAGCGTGGCCTATTGAAGAAAAGCACACCCATAAGTTGGATGGGGTGGAGCTTTAGGTTATCACAAGGATGGGGCAACCTGTGTGAACCAGATTGATAGAGTCTCGGATATGGTGTCACTACTCTTTGGCTGTGTGATGCATGGCTCAGAAAAGGGACAATGGCCACTGTCTGGCCTCTGGAGTTTTGTCTGGCAGGAAGCTGTCCCTTGGCACTTGCCCTGATGCCAGACACTTCAGTTTCTCCCTGTATGCCACAGGTGCCCTTCCAGCTGCTGGCCTGGTAACAGAGCCCAGAGGGAGTGAGTCTGTGTAAGTCCTAAATCCGTTGCAAGCCCCTTAAGGGGAGACTCCCAAGAATTCTGCAGTTTTTCCACTGCCCCAACTCTCACTGGTTTTCACAGCCAGAAGTTATGGAGACTTATCTTCCTGTAACTGGAATCCTGGGCTGGGTGGTCTGGTGTAGGCTGGGATCCCTTGCTTCCGAGCTATCCCTCCTTATTATATCTACCACACATGGGTGTGGGACTGCCCGTTTTGCATCTCCATCTCTTTGACCCTCCTACGCATCTGGATCAATGTGACTTCTTTAATTCCTTGGTGTTGGACTTACAGCTCAATTTTCTGATGATTCTGGATGATAGTTGTTTTTGTAGTTTAGTTAGAATTTTTGCTGCAGTTGTGCAAGGAGGTGTGCTGTGGTTACCTACGCCTCCATCTTAACCAGAAATTCAACAAATATTTAAGAACGTGATAAGCAGAGTATGTGCAAAACAGATTGAAATGTAATATATGGTCTCTGCAGTTCCAAGTTCCCAAAATTTCTGGCACACATGTAGGAAACAAGGCTCCAGGTCAGGGCACTCACTGACCCTGAGTCCCAGTTCTTCCACAGGTGCTGCAGCTGAGCAAACTTACTGGTGACAATGATGAATGTAGACAAATTCACAGCCAGGTCTATGATTTACTTCTGCAGGGAACCAAGACATTACAGATCTTACCAAGTGTTAAGGAAGTGGCTGGGCTGGCAGCTCCATAAGCCTGCACCCCACGCCCATGGGGTTCCACCTAGAAGCCGAGTGCGGAACTGGGGGCAGCTCTGCTAGAACTTGTCAGACTGGGAAAAGACAAAACCAGTTTCAAGTGCACATATACTTGTGCAGTGAGAATGGGGTACTCCAGATAGGTCAGCAGTGGGTACTTGTAGTAACACTGGTATTCCAGAAACACCAGGAACCCTGCCAACTCCAGAAGCAAACTCAGGATGCTGAGGTCCCATGAGCTGCATGCCACCAGCAGGGTGGAGATGTGAGGCAGCTTGAGTGCTACACGTCTATTCATACATATTTCTGAAGGTACTTAGAGAAAACTGTTGTAAAGGAAAAGCAAGATCATAGGCAGAGAGAATAAATATCCACATCACTAATAATTCAGAGATACGTAACTGGGGAAAGAGAATGAACAAGAGTTATCTACCATAGAAAAAGAAGCAGCTGCTTGTTCCAGTAATCCCACAAGTCCTGACTCAGTAAAGTACTTTCCAGAGCAAATACCTTCTTCATCTGGAGATACCACATCATCTGAGACTGCAGACTCTTCTAAAACGTTAGATGAAATATTCTAGGGAGAAAAACATTGAAAAAAAGTTTTGAAATGTAATTAATTTCTTAGCATGAAAGATGTGTATGAAAAAGTAATTGAAGATAAAATATAGTTATCAGCCTAGGTTAAAAAAGGGGTAGTCAATACACAGATAAAAGACAAATCTCCCAAAACCTTCTGTATTTTGAAGGTGATAATCAAATGAAACACCACCGCTAGATGACTTTTCCATCAATAAAAAGTTATGAGAAAGAAAACTTTTAAAAATCATGGGCTAAGGAAAATAGTAACTTGGCATAGGACATCTAAGGAGACTTAAAAAGTATTTAATTGATCTTGTCAAAACTCCCTATAAGGGAAATTAAGGTACAAAAAATGGTTTCTCTGACTTGCCCAACATACACTGAGTTAATCAAAAGACTCAATATAATAATAGCCCCTTTACTCCCAGTATGATTGGGATCAGCCATTACTTCTAAAAAAGAAGTGATACATATGTACCGTAAATATTTTATTTTAGCTTAAACATTTACAGTAGATATATACTTATTTGTCAAATTTTTTAAAGTAGGTCTAAGGTCTTTATGTATGGGCTTCCAGATCAGAGTTCCGTGTAATTTCTCTTGACTAAATATCCATAATACAACCACCACTTAATATATTCAGCTTTGGTTTCTTTAGAGTAAAAATTTAAATTTCAAAAGATTATCAAATTATCCTGGATTTCAGGGAGCTTTTCCTGCAATCTTTTATATTTGGTCTAAAATTAACAACAGGTTTTTTTTGAGATTCACTTTTATCAAGTCTTTGCAAATCATTCAACTTAGTTTTCAGAGAAACAATAACTCACTTTCTTTTTGCATTCAGATTTCATCAGAGGACATAATATTTAATATAAAACTTGAAATTTTCCGAACCTGGCATTAACAGGTTTTTAAGAAAAGCAACTCCTAACTGACTCTTGGTAAATAAGGAACTCAACTAGTGAGTCAGAGGTATGTGTCTACTAAATAGTTTACTAGAGAGTAAACTATCACCCAACACATGGTATTAGTATATTTTATATAAGGAATGCAGGCCGTTGGTTTATCTGGTATGTTAAGTAAAAACCAATTAAGTGTTTCTACATAATTCTGATTCTCAGTATTTTGAGTGTATTCCATAGATGCCATGAAGTACATAGCAGTATAGGCAAAGAGAATAAAAATACACAGCACTGATCATTCAGAGGTAAGGACACGTGGAAAGAGAATTAACAGCAAGTACTCTTTAAAAATATATTAGTGACAGTGAAATGTTAATTCATCTCATGAACACACTTTCCATCTTTATGCTTTCCTTAGAAAGTGAGTTAGTCTAGACACCAGTGAGGAAAGTCAAAACCAAAAATGGACATACCTTGATTTAATGTAAATTAGGCAGATTCCTACCTGAAATGTTACACACCCCACAGGAAGATATTTGCGGTCCTCTAGCATGCTCAAATATTCAGCAACAAGTGCTGCTGAGTGGACCAGGCACTGTGCAGCTTCGGCGTGATTGCTGCGTTCAGAGTGTTTGCCAGCCATGTTCTGCAACCAGGTCAGTCGCAGATCTGGGGAGGTCTGGTAGCCCTTGGCAATTCTAATTAGAACAGAAAATTCTTCCCAATTAGTATTTGCTTCTGAAGCTGAAGGGAGTTTAGATTGCTTGTTCAGTGTTTACCTACAGAGGTTTCTGTTATCTAACACAACCTATTAAGACAAGTTTTTCAGTGGTATGGAAAAGTCTTTGTGTATGCTTAGAGAAAATAGCTGTGGGCCAATGGAATGGGTAATAGCATTTTTTTTTTGGAGTAGGGCACCAAAAAAAGAACATGCCATATTAAAATATGATCTTTAAAGAAAACGATCAGTAAGGGAAAACTATGAAAATTTGTGTGTCCAGCTCTGGATAGTGTAGCTCAATAGATTGAGTGCTGGCCTGTGAACCGAAAGGCCACTCACTGGTTTGATTCCTGGTCAGGGCACATGACTGGATTGCAGGCCAGGTCCCCATTAGGGGGCATGCACGAGGTAGCTGATCGATGTTTCTCTCACACATCAATGTTTCTCTCCCTCCCTTTCCCTTTCTCTAAAAATAAATAAGTAAAATCTAAAAAAATTATGAGTTCATTATGGAAACAATAAAGTTTTATATTAAAAAAATTATAAAAGTTTCATTGCATCACCTTTGTTTAAAAAAATATTTGCTTTATTTGTGCCTTTAAAGAACTCTAGAACTCTGAAAAGAGAGGGTCATGTGTCAAAAAAAGTCTCAAGTTTTACTACATCTTTCAACATATAACAGGAATTATAAAATTCTCAAAATGTGCCCTGAGAAATATTATTCTATAGGAATAAACATTATTTAAAGTCAGGAAAGTTAATATTACTGTAAACATTAATACATGATATTTTCTTCCTAAAGGACTGACTTTTTACATTTAAAATACGGTTCTTCGGCCTTCCTAGGAAGTCTAGGGCACAGGATGCCAAAGTGTTTGATGTGTTATAATTATTTTAAAAAACTCTCTTGTTTTTGATAATCCATAAATATATTGAACAACTATGCATGGTGCTTAAAAGGAGAAGTCACATAAGGGATCTGAAAAAGCAGCCTGGAAAAAGTACATTATGACTTTTCAATCTATCATTAAAAAATGACAATATTTGTGTATTTTTTTAATCTAATGTTTCCTGTGTCTTACTGATTTAAGCCCATTATATAAGGTATAAGTGAATCAGATACTACCTGTACATTAGATCAATTAGCATTTCAGGATCCTCCTGGTGTTCCTTCATTTTGACAGTGTCAGAGAGGATCATATGGAGATTGAAAACCAAATCTTGGACCTGTGGCAGAGAATTATATGAAAAACATTCTTCAACTGCCATTCATTCACAATTACTAAATTAGTTTGGAATATATTTCAGATAAACATTTTAAAATTTCAAAGCAAATAATATGATATTGATACAGTTAAGAGTATGGGAATGCCAGGGTACAGTGGGTTAGGGATACAAAACTTTATACAAACTCCTCATCAGACCGTTTTTTTTTTTCGGTTCTCTCACCTGAAACAGGTAGAACTATAAGTAGAAATAATATATAGGCATAGTGTAGATACAAGAAAAGAACACAGAAGAAAATTCTCTCCTATGTTTCTGATTTTCCCAAAAGGTAGTTTGTAGAAACTTTAGTTTTTAAATCAAATTACTATTTCAATAATAAGTGGGAATGTTTTTTATCACAAAGCTTTTTTTGGTCCACACTGCCTAAGTCTATTATTCTTTTTTGTTACAAACACAGAGAATTAAACACTTTTTATTAACCAATCCAAGAAGAAAGAGTAACTTATTGAAACAAAAGAAAATTCAGTCCCGTCTATGGCATATGATATGTGAATTGAAAGAAAAATATAGGTTCCTCCAGTAAAAAACAAAGTTTCATTTATCAACTTAGAAAAGTGCCTATTTTTACAATCCTATTTCAATTAATTTTTGAAAAAGTGGCATTTCTAACCTGATCAGGAAATGTTGTTTCCCTCAATTCCAGATCTTCCTCAGCATATGTCAATATAGTCTTCAGAGAACGTCTTAAGAATTCTTCATTAAAATTCTGAGATGTGCCCACCAAGGAGGATAGCGACATGGTTACTTGCATTTTAACCCTGGCAAAGTTCTGTAACGGAATTGTTAGATTATAATTTAACACAGGAAAGTTTAAAGAAATGAGTAATTTTTTTACTTGCTAAAAAGGTTAGTTAATAAAAATACTACTCTTAGCAAAATATTTTTTAAAAAGTAGTGAGATACACATGTTGAAATGTTAAAAAATTAAGTGAATGGTGCTATTATTCTTGTAGTCACTCAGGCCAAAAGTCTAGGAATCATTCTCCCCTCATCATGCATACTATACATCCCATTCACACTATCCCCTCCTCTGTTTTATTCTGTCCTTTCTCCATTCCCATTGCCACTGCTTTAGTTTACACCCTTTCCATTTCTTACTTGAATTAGTATATTTTGCTGTGTATAATGTGCACCCATGTTTTTGGCCCAAACTTTCAGGGGAAAAAAATCTTTAGTTTTAATTTTCTAATTCAATTATTTATTTACTTATATTTAGATACTTATTTTTTGTATTATAAGGGATTTTAGCTTTTATTTTTGAGCTACGGATATTGTTATTGCTTTCTAGAGTTATACTTTTAGTGCATAAGCATAAATAAAAGAACTAAAAACATCTACACAAATACAGAATTAGTACTACCCATCTATAATGCACATCCTTATTTTTGCCACAAAAATTTGGGCAAAAAAGTGTGCATTATATACAGCAAAATACAGTACTGTAAGAATTTCCTAACTGATCTTTCTGCCTTTTTCTCTTATTCCCCAAGTCTATATGGAAGCGTATAGCAAGAGAAAAAAATTTATAAAATGCAAATCTAAACACATCTCTCCTCAAAATATTCCAATGGCTGAGTATAACTCTGAGGAAAAAATTCAAGTATCAATTCAGCAAATGTGTCAAACTATATGGTGGGACCAAAAGTACAGTAATAAAGAAAACATGTATCTTCCCCATGATGGCTTAGTCCAGGCCTTTTCAATTACAACTTCATCTCTTACAATACTCTCTATTCCAACCATAACCATCAAGAATGCTAAAAAAAGTATCTTTTTTCTCCATTTTCTTCTTTGTCTCCATGCCTTTCTAATCATGTACAAAGCTCTATTCACCTACTTATCCATCTAATTAGACAATTTTTCATCCTCAATTCAAGCATCTCTCCTTCTGAAAACCCATCCCTGAGTGCATAAGCTATTTCCCTCTGTGCTCATAGTTATCCCTGTGCCAACCTCTCCTTATATTAACAGCAGTAAACATTATTCAGCATCTCTTCAGTGTTAGTTACTGTTGTGTTTTACTTAATATTAATTTATATAATCTTCACAAAAACATCTGAAGTAGGTTCTTATTACCATTATTAGGTGAACATTACCTGTTCATTTTCTTTCTCACTAGATGCTAAGGTGCCTGAAATAAAGGACTATCCTTTTATCTGTTTGCCCAATGCCTACCTGAGTACATAGTACACAATTTAATACTTTGTTATCACTGCCAGTTTTAAAACACCTATTCTATTTATAGAGGTACTACCTCACACTAGAATGATAAATTACCTATTTTTTATCCTATTACATAAGGTTTTCCTAAAATAACAGTTAAATGTATCAAGAAAACTTTGAGTGTGGTCAAATTTTAGGATCTTGATTTTTAAAACTAAACAAGATCAATAAAGTAACTGGATTGCTCTGCTCTGGATTAAAAAGGAGGAATTAGCTTCCCATAAAAATAGAATAGTGTGAGATAGTAATTTCCCACTTCTCCTGAATTTCATACAAGAAGAAAAGATGAATAGAAAAAATATCCATAAATCTATTTTCAGCAAAATGAGGAAGCTGATATAATTTACATCTTAGAAAAATGAGTAAGGGTTGCCAAGACAAGCTGAAATAGGAAGTCAATAGAAGGAAAGGAGGGGAAAGCAATTAGTGAGGGATCCTACAGTACAGATTTCAGAAATAATGGGGGGAAGAAACTTCTTTTAAATAAGAGACTCACTTTGAAGTGGTAAAACTATCTGTCTTGAAAAGAAAATGAGCTAAAAATCTGGGAGAAGTGGACAGAAATGAATTGGTCAGAAACTCAGGAAGTTAGGCAAGATGTATGTACAACATCAAAATCCTATGAGAAACAAATTCCTGAAGGAATTTCTTACAAATACCTGGGGTCAAGACAATCCAATTTATTCTATGTTGAATAATAAAAAGGTTAAGAGATCAGCGAAACTCACCAGATAAAGAACACATAAAAACACTGTCATGAAGTTACAAACTGATGGCCTTCGGTCCAAATTCATACCAAAGACATATTTAATTTGACTCCATTAAAATTTTTAATTGGTTACTAATACTTTAAAATTAAAAACCTTCAAACAAAAATAAAGCTTTTTTGCTTTTTATTTTTTAAAAATGCTGTCATAAAATACATGGAAACTCTGATGAAATATTTTGCCTCAGTATAAAAAAACTTATGAAGCATTAACCTTAGGAAGGAAACAAGGCAGAAATAAAAGAATTCAAGAAAAGATAACAAGAATCGGAAAGTGATGACAAAATAGGAGCTCACATGTGAGCTGACACTACTTAAAAAATAAATAGAAACAAAAAGGATAAAATTGGTAAAAGAAAGATGTTGTGAAGAACATGTAAGAGATATAGGAGAGAGAAAAGCAATCAAATGAAAAGAAATTTAGAAAGTGCTAAAGAGGGAAGGAGAAAATGATAGGCAAAAAGTAAAGCAAAAATAGATCTAATGTATGTATAAATGGTACCCAGAAGAAAAACCTCATACCCTGGAAAAAAACAAATATTCAATTATGTACTCAAGAAAAAGGAAGGAGAAAGAGAGGGAGAGAAACATCTATGTGTAGTTGCCTCTCATGTACCCCCCACCAGGGACTGGCCTACAACCTACACATATTCCCTGACTGGGAATCAAATCAGCAACCCTTTGGTTCACAGGCCAGCACTCAATTCACTGAGCTATACCAGCCAGAGCTAAAGAAAACTTTCTGAAATAAATGGATTGAAAGTAGACATCATATGACTAAGAAAATTAACAAAAATCAGTCAACATCATGACATATTCTAGAAAAGGGATTTAACTTTGAATATGAAGGAAAAAAGTCACTTGAGTGGCTGAGAGGGAAAAAATTATTTAAAAGGGAAGAAATACCCTGGCCAGTGTGGCTCAGTTGATTGAAGCATTGTCCCACAAACCAAAAAGTCCCAAGTTTGACTCCCGGTCACAGCACATGCCTAGCTAGGTTGCAGGTTCGGTCTCCAGTCGAGGTGCATACAAGAAGCAACCAATCAATATTTCTCACTCACATCAATGTTTCCTGACCTTCCCTTCTCTCTAAAAATCAAATGAGCATGCCCTTGGGTGAAAGTTAAAAAATTCTTTTAATGGGAAGAAAATATAGGCTATCTTTAGATATCTCTACAACAAATATTTAATACCAAAAGAAAATGGTACTCAAGTACCTTTTTTAAAATTAAGTGTTCTTTATCTGGTAAGTTTTGCCGATCTTTCTCTCCCTTTTTATCATTCAAAGTCTAAGGCAAGAATTTCATAACCATCCTTGCTGTCTTAGAAATACAGACAACTTTGAATAACCAAGAACTTGGAAAATATTATTCCCAAGAACTTTCTTGAGTAAACAATTACAAAATAGCATTTAGCTGCTTGTTATTCACTCAGATATTATTGATAATTTTCAGTACTTGACATAATTAATGATGGGTTGAATAATTTTTTTGAATTAAATAATAAAGTTAAACCATTTATTTTTCAAAACTCAAGTCACACAGAGAAGCAACAAGGAACAAACATAACATCCGTAAAGAAGCCAATGGATGCCGACAGGCACATACAGACCACCTCTTGCCATATGACTGTGGGATCCAGCAACTGATTGGAAGTCCCTCCAAATCACATTGGGCAAGTACACATTCTTGACTATATTCTCTAATTCTGCATATATTTTGTTCTTTATCTTCTATGAATTTAATGACAATGGTGCTCATGTAACACCTAATAAAACCCAATGAGAGAAATAAATACAGTTGACCCTTGAACAATATAGGTTTGAACTTATACACAGGCTGTTTTCAGTAGATGCTGTAAATGTATTTTCCCTTCCTTATGCATGTTTTAATAGTATTTTCTGTTCTCTAGCTTACTTTATTGTAAAAGTACAGTATATAACACATACATGTGTCAATCAACTGTTTATGTTATTGGCAAGGCTTCCACTTAAGAGTAGGCTATTAATAGTTAAGTTTTGGGGAAGTTAAAAGTTATATATGGGTTTTTGAATGTGGAGAGATGGGTGCCAACCCCCACGTCGTTCAAGGGTCAACTGTCCTAAAGAGGGAGATGCTAATGATAGTGTTGCACTTTGTAAGGTCACAGTCATTGTGATAGCTAAATTTTCTTTTCATCCCTTAAGAACCAATTTTTATTTGCTTGGTGGCAATACTGGCCCCACTAAGAATGTTTGATCTAAAGGAACAGAGGACTGAAGATATTACATAATTATAAAGGTTATCATTATTAGAGCAATATAAATTTCCTGAATATGATAAACATTATACCCAAAACATAAGGTGAACTAAACAGATGATGCAAGATAAAACAACAAATAATTTTTTCAAAAGGACAGTAGGGGAAGCATAATAAAATAATACAATGGAACTCCAGAACATATCTGTTATAATAGCAAGTATGAAAATATTTAATTCAAGTTAGAGATAGGATTACATAGCAAAACTCAACTCTATCTTGTATATGAAAGGCATACCTAAAATAAAATGATTCAAAAGAGTAAAAATAAAATGACAAAGGTAACTGAAGCAAGTTCAAATTAGAAAGAAAGCAGTAGCATGTTAATACCATAAAAGGTAGAATTTAGGCCAAAAGAAGAGAAAGTTTTAAATAAAGCCAGCTCAATCCCTTTTAAATTCTAAAGGGAATAATAATAATTCATAAAAAGATGTAATAGTTATCAATATCAACATATGAAATAATTATAAAAATAAATTCACCAAATAAGAGCTATAGGAGAAATATACAATGTGTGGGCTTTCAATCATTTCTCTTTCCACCAAATGGATAAAAAATAAGCAAGGGTATAGAAAAACAGAAAAATGTAATTAATAAGGTATAGTTGTTTCTTTAACTCAATGTTCTAAAAATAAAGAATACTCCTTTTTAAATGCTTGTTCAACATTTATAAAAACATTGCATATATGAACACACAAACACACACATCCACAGTACAAGAGAGATGTACATTGTACAATCACACTGCAATAAAACTAACATGAAAACTTTAAAACAAAAAAACCCTATCAACTCTTTGGGTTAAAAAGAAAATTTCAGCCCTGGCTGGCGTAGCTCTGTGGATTGAGCCCAGGCTGCGACCAAAGCATTGCAGGTTCGATTCCCAGTCAGGGCACATGCCTGGGTTGCAGGCCAGGTCATGTGAGAGGCAACCACACATTGATTCTCTCTCTCTCTTTCTCCCTCCCTTCCCCTCTCTGAAAATAAATAAATAAAATCTTTAAAAAATGCAAAGTTTTAAAAAAAAAGAAAATTTCAAACTGAAATTACAAAATAGCTACAAAACAAGAACATTAAAAATACTACATATCAGAACTAATGAGATTCCAAAAGCAGTGCTCAAAAAAAAATTCTAAAATTTAATTGTTTTTTTACCTTCGATTTATTTATTTTTCTTTTAATATTATTTATTTGTTGTTGTTCATGTACAGCTATCTCCATTCCTCCCTCACCTCTCCCCCACCACCCCTCCTCCTACCCACGAACCTACCCGCTTTGTCTTTGTCCATGTGTCCTTTATACATGTTCTTTGATGACCCTTCCCCTATTTTCACCCAATATCCCTCTCCCCCCACCCTCTGGTTACTGTCAGTTTGTTCTTTATTTCAATGTTTCTGGTTATATTTTGCTTGCTCAAATAAGATAGCACTTCACACAAGTCAGAAAGGCCATCATAAACAAATCAACAAACAACAAGTGTTGACGAGGACTCCGAGGAAAGGGAACCCTAGTGCACTGTTGGAATGCAGACTGGTGCAGCCACTATAAAAAACAGTATGGAATTTTCTCAGAAAACTAAAAATGGAATTGCCTTTTGACCCAGCAATTCCACTGCTGGGATTATATCCTAAAAAGCCTGAAACACCAATTGAAAAGAACCTATGCACTTCAATGTTAATGGCAGCACAATGTACAATACCAAGTGCTGGAAGAAACCTAAGTGTCTATCAGTAAATGAGTGGATCAAAAAACAATGGTACATTTGCACAATGGAATACTATGCAGCAAAAAGAAAGAAGGAGTTCCTACCATATGCAACAGCATGAATGGAATTGGAGAGCATTATGCTAAGTAAAATAAGCCAGGTGGTGAAAGGCAAATACTATATGATCTCACCTATAAGTGGAGCCTAAAATTTAATTCTTAAACACTTACATGAGTAAAAATAAGCGAATTAAACATTTGACTAAAAAAAAAACTAAAAAAAAATTACAACACATTAACATATTATCAAATAAAAAACTTAAATGAAAACATGGAATTTCTCAAATACTGGCATAAATCATAAAATATCAAGCCAAGATATTTAAACCTTTAAATTTCTTTATTATCACTTTGATTTTACTTAGTGACAATAATTAAAATTTATAATAGCTCAACATACATTTATATTCTAACTCTACTACTATGTATGTTATTTTTAGTACAGGAAGCAAAATTAGAGATTTGGATATTTATAAGCTAGCCATAGAATGAGAAATATAGACAATCTAGGACAGAGATGTCGAACTCATTTTCACTCGGCGTCACATTAGCCTTGCGGTTGCCTTCAATGGGCTGAAATAATTTTAAACTATATAAATGTAACTACTCCTTAACACTTAAGGAGTTGAAATTACATTTGGCCATGGCCCCCCGGTGAAAATGAGTTTGACACCCTTGGTCTTGAATTAGGTTCAAAATACACAAAATAATTCCATGCTTCCCCCAAATTCATGTAATATATAGGTGCAGGGTTTATATTTCATTACATATCCAGAGACAAAATACTTACATTCCCTATTTCAAAATTTTGCCTCATCAGCAGGTAAAGGGAGGCACTAGCGTGTGACCGTATTGTACTGATACTACTGCTACAGTGTCGGAGAAGCCGGAGGCATAAATCAGCACACTGCTCTGTCTCTTCTTCAAATAGGAGTTCAGGGAACTGTGAAAAAACACCAACACCAACACCAAATTTATACAGGCTGAACTAGAGATTTGTTCTAGATTTGAACAAGTATAGCCCGAGAATTAAAAGAATGATTAAAGGAAAATATTTACTAATGGTTAATAATGTGGACCAGAGAGAGAAAGACTGGGTTTAAATACTAACTATGCCACTTACTAGCTAGCAGCAGTGTGACCTTGGACAAGTTTTCTCATCCATAAAATGAGCCTAATAATATTATCTACGATCTATGGGATTATATGGACCTTATAATAGATAATGTACATGAAATACTTAGTATAGTAACCAATGTGAAATAATCCTGTATTGTGTTTTTATTATTACAAAATAGTAATATAACATATTTTCACTGGTTAAGTTTCATCAACAGCTCTGTATTCCATCTTATAAGATAACTAACATGAAATAGCTACCTTTAAGATTTAAAATGTACATATTTTGGGGAGGATACCAACAGAGGAAATGAATATCTGAAGTAGTTAAACAAATGTACCTTCTTTTCCATCCACCACAGGATAAGTTAACTTTAATTGACTGAACTACTTACACATTGAATTCTTGATAAATCAAGTTAATAAAGAACAAACAGAATAAAAGGAAGAGAAAACAAGAAAAGTCCCAAATTTAATATTAGCCATTAATTTCAGGCCCTTCTCTGCATCAAATCCTATTTTGTAAGCCAGAAACTGGCTAAAGGTGATCCAAACAAGAATTCCAAAAGGCAAGCAATAGAAGACAAAGAGAAATCAAAGATCTTAGGTTTTTATTAAAATATTAAATAAACATTAACCAATAAACATGCCAAATGATCTTAGACAATTTAATAAAGTCTGACAAGGCTACAGGTACAAAATTTACCTACCTTTGAAACCAGGGCCCTCTGGGTAGCGAAACAGTGTTGTAGATAAACTGCACTTTGGTTACAGGCCATGCTGTGCAGGAGCACTTTCAGCACCCCACCAAGGATGCTCTCTTTGGATTCTGTTACAGAAACTGTCTGCAGTTTAAAAATAGATAAATAAAATAGATATCTACTTGTGATTTGGTTAGAGAGACAGAATATAGATAAAGAAACCAATAATTTTTTAAAAATAGGAAAATGATAACATAAAATCTAGGAAGACTTCTAGAAAAAAGGAGCTTACCAGGATTTGGATAAGAGAAAAGGGAAAAACAGAATGGCAGGATTTAAGTGAGAAAAAAAAGGAACAAGGGTAAAACTTTTAGGAACTACTGATATTTAAATGTAATTACATGGCTCAATAAATACTTTTCCTCCAACCCCAATTTACCGAATCTATACTTTAAATTCCTCTTCTTTGTGTTCTTACCTGGACAACAATCTCTAATGTATCCAAAATGATTAGGTTTGCTTCAGTAGCCAGATTTCCATCAATCAGTGCTTCATGTTCAATCTCTGCTCTTGACCTAATACAAAACAGTGTAAGAAATTCTACTTATCCTCTTTAAAAAAGCCAATAGATCCAAAATTCAAAAAGGATTTAAAGATGCAGAGAAATAAAAAAACTTAGAACCATTTTTTAATATTTGCCTGAATGAAAAATTGTAAGAGAATAAGGAAAAATATATTATACATATTAATGCTTTGTTTTACCCTGCATCTTGCTGACCATGCCGATCCACATTTTCTCACCCTATTACAGTCCTACAGTGCCACTGAGAGCAGAACTGGTCAGCTCTCAGACACACAGCACACACAGGAAACCAAGTGTCAGTCTGAGTGGCACAAACACTAGGTGGTGCTATGTGGGTTTGCATTTCGGGCCGCTTCATGTAAAGCAACATTCAAAATGTTCCAGGATAAAACTATTTTTTCCCTAAAGTTTTATAAGTTCCCCCCAATTTTAAATTTTTTAATGCAGAAACAATGACCTCTTCGGTGAAACACTGGATAGAAACAGTAATTAGAAACAAAACACCTTGATGCCAATCAAGACATTTACTTGAATATCCAGTATTTATAAAAATATTATTTAATAAAAAATTTAAAAACTACAGGTGATTTATGGATAAAACCAACATTTATTTTAATAGCCACACACATTCATGCAAACTACATAGACAAAACAACACACAAATCAAAGCGAAAGTGCAAGGACATACTAAATGCTAACTTTCTGAAGTTCTTAGATGTTCCAGTCTCTGAATCTTCATTACTACCATTAGGGAGAACAGTTCATGGATTTACATTTTACAAATTGAAGGAGAAAATATAGCATAGTTAGAATTAAATTGAAAAAGAAAATAATACACTGTTCAAACTTAAAATTCAGCCAGATTTCTATGAAGAAGCTTACTAAGATGGTTTAAATAAAAAGAATCTGGAAAATACCAAAAAATGGCTTCTTAAGAACACAGCAAGATAAGCAGAAAGAACTCATTACACAAATGCAGAAATAAAGCAATATACACTTAGTATAGTATCTGGCTGCTTTGTGAATTCCACAACACATGTGGAAAAATAATCAAAGAAATGAACTTGGATAGACAAAGAAAAGTGAACACTCAAAGCTTAAAAATTTAAACATAATTATATTATACTCAGTATCTGTTACATCTAAATATTTGAGTCTACCCCAAATTCTTATGTTGAAAACTGTAAAGCCCAAGGTAATGGTATTAGGAGGTGAGGCGAAGGTCAGGAGAGCAGAGGCCTTGTGAATGAGATTAGTGCCTTTAAAAAAGAGGCCCCAGGGAGTTTGTTTGCCCTTACACCGTATAAGGAAATACCAAGGTTAGTGCGTAACCTGGAAGAGGGCCTCCAGATACCAAATAGGCCGGTGTCATGATCTTGAACTTTCCAGCTTTCAGAACGGTGCCAAACTACTGTTGTTTATAAGCGACCTGGCATGTGAGATTTTGTTATAGCAGCCTAAAGAGACTAAGACAATTTCTGATCATTTCAAACTCTTATCTACATGGTACCAATTCTGCTGTTTTTCTCTCTACTGGCTTGCATAGGGCATTGTTTCCTGTGTTGCTTGACCTCAGTGTCTGTGAGCTAATACTTATGGAAGTTTATTTGTAAGAGTCCTCTAACGATTGGGCTCAAGATGGTTGCAGATAGAGTGGCCAATCATCTTGATTTGATTTAGGACAGGACTGAGGGGTTGGTTCCCTGTGACATGAAACATTCAATGCTAAAATTAGAAGTACTAGGCAAATCTGAGTAAGTTGGTCGCCACATTCTAAAGATTTCTGGGCCAGCCAAGCCCCTTGAGGGCTAACTTGTAATTACAAATTGTCAGGAAAAAATTTAACCCCTTGATTCAATGCTAAGTTTCAAACCAAGCAATATTACCCTCGGTCACCTGGGCAATGAGAAGGGCTTATTTCTAGTTCTGTTAACGCTGACGGTGGAGTCCTTTAGGCTTCTGGACTCATGGTAGTGCATTTTCCACTGTTTTTTTGCAGTAGGGTCAGTCAGTGTACCTAGCTTGCCTCCATGCTAGAATCAGAAGACCTATAATGTTCTGTCCTTCTTTAACTATATTTTAAGTTCCCAGAGGGCAAACATTAGTTTTCTAATTTTTTTGGTAATCCTTGAAATATTTAGTTCAGTGTGACACCCAAAATATAGTCTAAAATATTTGTAGAATGCAACTTTCCAAGGGGGATATGGGGTAACATTAAAATATGTTACATTTTGCTTTACTGTACCACATTAAAAATGTGGTACAGTAAACCTTTTAAACCTTTTAAAATCTTCAATTTAAAAACGAAATAAAAACAATCTTGTCTTCTAAGATTTGAATGCCTAACATTATAATATATATTTACATATATGTATACATATATTAAAAAAAACACTAAAATTAATCATGTTCCTCTTACACCTGAAATCCAAGCTTATCAGTAACATGAAATAGAAGGTTATATTACTTGTCAAGCTTCTCAGTGTTTTGACGCCAGTGAGTCATATCCTTTCTCCACCTCAGATTTTCTTGACTTCCAAAGGCACTTCCAGATGGGCTTCTCTCTGTCAAATAAATTTCAAAACCATTTTTAAAATATTATTTCAGTTGGACCACATATATGTATACCTGCAAACATTTAAGAAACACTGAACAATGTTATTAATTTTATACATAGCCATTTTATCCTCAATATAAGTAGAAAAACCTGACAATGGTGCTTTTTATTAAAAGTTTTCACAGCAGTTAGACAAAAAATATATTTGCTACATGTAATAAAAAACAAACACCCTTTTAAATAAGCAAATTTTCTAACACCGATTTTCTCAAAATCTTAACCATGGTTTCTATAACCCTAAATGAAGTAACCTGATTTCCTACCACTCTTCCTCTTGCTTACACTCCCAGTTATTGTGTGCATGTGAATTCTGTACACACAGTCTCACTACATATGCTCCTGATTTAGGATACGTACAAGGGTTGCTATTCCTTTTACCAGATTGTTCTTCCCACATTTTCCCTGGCCAGTCATTCATCATCTCCACAGAAATGCCTTCCCCAACTCTCCAAAACTTCTTTTCCTCTTAATTTGCTTTATTTCTCCCCACAGCACTTATAACCACATGATTATAAGCTACTGAGAACAGAGAATATGTCTACTCTGTCTACCACTTAATTTCTGGGGCTGACAAAACTTCTGGCATGTTCCAAAGCTCAGTTAAGTTTTTGTTTGGTAAATGAAGAAAATAAGGAGAATTTCTAAAGTAATTACTTCTTTTGGTCCACAGAGGGCAGAACAGGAGAAAGACAAGGACTCTGTCTCACTAGGTTTCTGGATGGAAGGTGGACTGAATAGCACAGACCAGAGATTTTTGAGCAGTGTTCCTGACAATTTTTAAAACATGCAATACCTGATTTTTTTAGTGAGGGGCACTGACCTCTCTTTTCATGGACTGTCAAATAAAAAATGACAACACCAATGCCACAATAGCCATCTGCTGTAAATGAATAAAAATTATACCTATTTTTCTGTCAGATCAGCAAAAAATATGGTTTTGGTGTGCCACAGAATTTTAGTAATTAGTTTGTGTGTGCCATAAGATGAAAAAGGCTGAAAAATCTCTGGTACAGGCTCTTTTAAGGGACAGTAGCAATAGAACTGATTCACACAAATCCAGAAAAAGTGGAGAAGGCACTGGAAACTATGCAGAAATATAAAAATATGTGTATTTAAACAATAGAACATCATGATTTTAGGCTTTCAATGAGAAAACTAATGCTCCATTTTTAAAAAATGAGACCTAAATTGGTTGGGGAAATAAAAACAAAAATGAAAATAAAAATTCAGAGTTCAAATACAAATTTAAAAAATACTGAGAAACAAATATAATTTGCCACACAATAAAGGACATGTCTGGAAATTTATCTTGCTTTCTCTCCCTTTCCTTCTCTATCCTTCCTTCCCTTTTTGATTTTGAAATCTCTATCTTTAAGAAATTTTGTAAAAGAAAACAAAAATGATATGCCTATATTAAGACAGTTAACTGAATAAATACGAGGTCTGTCCAGAAGGCATCCAGCCATGCTATATGAAAAATAGAGACAGTCATTGAAGAAGGTACAAGGTACAACAAACATTGTACATAGGACAATGATGCTTTAGTCGCCTTCCAAGCAGGCACCCTGCAACCTCACACAGTTCTCCCAATTGCCATCAGTTGCCCCATCATATTTTCCTGAATCTCACAGACAGTCTGAAATCTTTTCCCTTTCAAAGGTAATTTTAGTTTTAGGAAAACCCAGAAGTCACAAGGTGCCAAATCTGGGCTGCAAGGGGGCTGAGTCACCTGGGTGATCTGATGTTTTACCAAAAAACTCTGACCAAGATATGTCACATGAATGGGCACATTGTTGTTATGAAGCTGCCAATCACCATTTGCCCATAGCTGTGGCCTTCTGAATCACTGGAATAGTTTCTGAGCAGGAGTATTCAAGCTTATCACAAAATTTGAGGCAGATTTGTTGCTCCATTAGCTCAGTCATTTTGAATGCCACACTCACACAGTACACATGCTCACTCAACAGAGTCTACCGCCCTCACTGACTAAGTACAGGGTAGTTATCATTGCTCACATATGTGCATTGCATTTCAGTCCACTCTCCTTGGCTGCCAGGTTACACTGATTTCATGCAAACCATTCTCCTTACATTAACAACACCTAGGCTTTTTCCAGACAGGCCTCACGAGTGATCTACTTAACATTTTTATCATAAATTTTTTTTCATGAAATTGTTTCATCTCCTTAGTTGAGAATATCTACAATTAGGTGACCTAGCTTAAATGTTCAAATGCAAGTAAGAATTGCAAAGGCTACACTTTTCTAAGATAAGAAATTTTCTAAGACAATTCTTTTTTTACTTGAGATATAACTGACATATGACATTAGTTTCAGGTATATAACATAATAAATAAGATATATGTATGTATTATAAAATGATCACTACATTAAGTCTAGTTAACACCCATCATACCACATATATTTACAAATATTTTTTTCTTATAATGAGAACTTTTAAGATCTACTCTCTGAGCAGCTTTCAAATACATAATGCATTATTATTAACTAATGTCACCACACTGTAGATTACATCCCAGTGCTTACATGTTTTATAATTGAAAGTTTGTATCTTTGGACCCCCTTTACCCATTTTGTCCATCCCGACACACCTGCCTCTGTTAATCATCTATCTGTCCTTTATAAGTTCAGTTTGTTTGTGTTAGATTCCACATACAGAACTTCAATTCTTGCATTCAAACAGTGATAGCTGTCCTAAGGGCCATAAGTATAAAAATGTAAAAAGCATAGTGCTAACAGTTCCATTCTTTTCAACAATCAGAAGAGCTGTGGTATAATATAAAGAACATTAAATTGGAAGTCAAAAGATCTTGGTTCTGTCACTTAGTTTATAATCTTAGCCAAGTTATTTACCTCAATGAGTTTTATTTTCTTTATCTTAAAGATGAGGATAATGACTAATCAAATGATGTACTTAAAAGTTAGTTTTCATACCTTCTTAGAAGATTGTTGTAAAAAATTAGTTAAAAGAAAATAAATAGGTATTTTGTGAATTCTATATAACCTAAGTGGAAAAAATGGTGCTCTATTAATTATATTAAAGGTAAAGACCTTATCTTCATTCATTATTAAATTCCAAACACACATAGCATATAAAAGATATTTAAGTTCATTTAAATAAATGATTACTATGGTAATAGCCTTTCAGAAAACAACAAATAAAAATATTCATGTATTGAGCGTGGGCTGGGAACCAAAGTGTCCCAGGTTCGATTCCCAGCCAGAGTACATTCCTGGGTTGCAGGCCATAACCCCCAGCAACCACACATTGATGTTTCTCTCTTTCTCTCTTTCTCTCTTTCTCTCTCTCTCTCTCTCTCTCTCTCACTCTCACTCTCACTCTCCCCCTCCCTCCCTCCCTTCCCTCTCTAGAAATAAATAAATAAAATCTTTAAAAAAAAAATTCATGTAAATGTATATTCATATTCTAAGTCAACAAATATATATGGAACTGTTAGCCTGTGTCATGTTCACGGGTGACTAAGCCATATCCCTGAACTTAAGCAGCTCTCAGCAACAGTATTATTTGTGTATCACTTTAGAATTTACAAAATATTTACAGATATGGTCACTACAAAGATGCTAAGGTCGGTTATAGTACCTTTAAAATTCATAAGTGGATGAGGACAAGGAAAGTAGGGAGATTAAGTGACTGGGCCAAGGTTATATGGCTAATGGGTAGCAAACCAGGTGTGGGAGACGATGAAGGTTGGCATCATACAGCTGGAATGTGCAGGGGTTAAACAAGAGATAGATAACCGCAAGCTTCGGCTGAATGTGACTGTAACTTCCACAGTAGACATATGTATCAGTTAAATAGCCTAGGAACAGAACAATCTGTGCTTGTAGAGTCTCCCTGGGTTTGCAAAATGTCCTTGAGCTTTATCTAACCAACCCTTATAAAATAAACTCGAAAACCACGTTCAGGGCTAATTGTCTCTCCATCAGAGGACAATGTCCCATCTGGTCCCCGCTTTTCCTTAAACTTCTGTGATGTGACTTTATCTCCTGTCGACCCCACTCAGGTACTCCCACTCCACACTGGTCGCAGCAACCAGGGATTAGAAACAGGCTTCTAGGCTACTAAACTGTTTCACCTTCCTGATAGTTGAGTTTGATGGCCAATATCTTTGCCTTAAACTAGATAGACTATATATTTTTAAAGATTTTTATTTATTTATTTTTAGAGAGAGGGAAAGGGAGGGAGAAAGAGAGGGAAACATTAATGTACAGTAGCATCTTGCGCACCCCCTACTGGGAACGTGATCCACAACCCAGGTATGTGCCCTGACTGGGAATGGAATCTGTGACCCTTTGGCTCACAGGCCGACACTCAATTCACTGAGCCACACCAGCCAGGGCTTGGGACTATATTAATTCATTGTGCTAACTAATAAACTTTCAATAAAAAATGAGGCTACATATAATTTATGATACCATGAGAGAGTCCCAATATAAACTATAAACTCTGGGTGATTGTGATGTGTCAGTGTAGGTTCATTAGTTATAACAAGTATACCACTCTGGTGGGGGATGTTGATAATGTGAGAGGCTATGCATCTGTATGAGCAGGGAAATCTCTGTACCTTCAGCTTAGTTTTGTTGTGAACATAAAACTGCTCTAAAAATAGCCTATTTTTAAAAATAAGGGTTGCTATTAATAATCATGCAAGGACAACAGGAACAAGCTGAGACTATCCAGAGCAAATCAGGAAGTGTATCTGCTATACTTAAATTGAATTCTAACTTGAACACCTGCAGAGAAATGGTTATCTAGGGTAATTCACAATTACATTTAAAATACTTTTTTAAAAGTGTTGAATTATCACTGAAGACTTACGACAATAATCATTGTAATATATACTTGAAGGAAATCAAAAACATTCTCACCAGAAGAAGATACCATATACGTACCAAGCTGTCCTCGGCTCCGGCGCACCATTTCTTGTCTAGCACCTATGCTCCCAAGAATAGCTTCTTCAAGCTTAGCTCTCATGTCTTTTGATTTCTTAAAGGTCAAACTATTCATTCTTTCAAACACCTTCTTTCCCTAAAATTTAAACATTACAAAATAAGAGGCAATGATAAAATTTTCTTTTTTTCACATTGTTTCCTCTCTTGTTCCTCTTTGCAAAGGCATAATGATCACTTACTTTGTACTCAAAGCATGAAACACAGAGATAAAGCAGATCTAATAGCCGGTTTAGCTGCAGGACAGAGAGATCTGTGAACCACTTTTGTAGAACTGTTTCATCTGCATTCTTGAGAACCCAAAGTAGACAGATCAAAAGGCTCCGACTTGATTCTGCTGAAAAGGTAGTGTGCTGTCTGCCACTCTGAAAGCCAAGAACAATTGAATGAGACAGACTGGTCAATGATCATTTTTTTGGGGGGGGGTGGGTATCAGTTTTCTCCAAAAGGCAATAAAACAAAAATTGCTTAAAAATCAAATGTTTAAAAAGAACCATTTGATTTAGAATATACTTGTATAAGTCATATAGAAACTTAAACTTCAGGTATTGAAGTTTATTGAACCTTTCCTGGCAAAAGAAAGTTGTTTTGATCTGTGCTACAGTTTCCAGCAGATGTTAACAGAAAACACAAAGCAAAAAGACTAAAAGGTCCTACTATTAAAAACTAAGCTATCTACCATACAATATCAAACAGGGTAAATTAAAGGAAAAAAAAAAACCCCAAGTGACTTGAAAAGTATTAAAATGGGAAGTAATAACAAAATATGTATCAGGTTTAGAGAACCACTGATTCCTGTAAAGGACACTGAAAAAAAGAGAACTCTTAAATGTTATATACGTAAAAAGCATTTGTACATAGAGCACTTAAGTTTAAAGTGCTACTTTCAATTTTCAATCTGCAGTAATATTGTGCAGGCCAAAAAGTTTGGTTTTTCCCATATGATGGCTCTGGGACTGCTTAGTTGTTTTTAACTTCATTCTAAACAGTTTTATTAGATTTTATCATAACAGCTGTCATACCAGTGTGCTTAAAAAAAACATCAAAACTGGTGAATTTTTGTGTAGCCATTATAAAATGAAGATGGAAGAAAACATACATTTTTGGCATGTTATGTTTTATTATTTCAACAAAGATAAAAACACAACTGAAATGCAAAAAAAATTTGTGCAGTGTATAGAGAAGGAGCTGTGACTGACTGAACGTGTCAAAGTGGTTTGTGAAGTTACGTGCTAGAGATTTCTCACTGGTCTATGCTCCATTGGTGGGGTAGACCAGTTGAAGTAGATAGTGATCAAATCGAGACATTAATTGAGAACAATCAAAGTTATACCATGTGAGAGATAGCCAACATACTCAAAATATCCAAATCAATAAAGCTATTGCTTAAAATGAAAAATGTGTCTTTTATTTTAAAAGAAAAAACATACAGACTTTTTGGCCAACCCAATATATAGTATGTAAAATACAAGTGAAAAACTAAGAATTGGAACTTGTTTACAGTACCATTTATTGGATATTTACTTTGTTCTAGTCATCATGCTAACCTCTTGACATGCATTATTTCATTTGGTTCTCCAACGATATTATAAAGCAGGTAATATCATTTGAATTTCATAGACAAGAATTCAGGATGACAATAGTAAAAATAATGATGATAATGATTACAAAACACAACAAAATCTGAAACGTGCTAGATACTACATTAATCACTTTTTCTTATTTAACTCATAATTTTTAAAGACAGTATTAACTACTGTTATTTCTAGTTTATAGGTAAGGAAAGTTAAAGCTAGAGATTAAGGAATTTCTCTAAAAGTAAGTTCTCTTCATGCAATTAGGCTGAAATCAGAAACAAAGGATTACTATACATTTTACATGACTAGAAATTTTAAAAGGAAAACAACTGAATAGCCCAAAGTCTAAAAAGAAGTCATAATAAACTTTAGATATATTTTGAACTAAATAATGAAAATTCTGTATACAAATTGTGGAAAATAATTAAAGCAATAATTAAAGGAAAATGTACAGGTTTAAAATATGTATCAAAGAAGAATTAAAATTAGTGAATTAAGCATCCATCTCAAGAAGTCAGAAAAAGATGCCCTGGCTGGTATGGTTTAGTAGATTGAGTACCAGCTTGTGAACCTGGTTCAATTCCCAGTCAGGGCACATACTTGCACTGTGGGTCAGGTTTCCAGCTGGGGGCATGTGAGAGGCAACTGAGGGATATTTCTCTCTCACATCGATGTCTCTCTCCCTACCTTCCCCTCTCTCTAAAAATAAATAAATAAAATCTAAAAATAAGAGAGAAAAGAAAATTGTAACGGTGGAAAATTCTAACCCACCCCAGCATTCTCAAAAAAAAAAAAAAGTCAGAAAAACAAAGTAGAAGACAATAAATATAAATCCAAAGAAGATATAAGACAGTAAATAATAAAAATAAACATTCAAAAGTGAGGATCAACTTTGTCCCCAAATTAGTTCTTTATAAAGACTTGAGATATATAGAAATTTCTGTTGAGACTGATTCAAGACAAAAAGGTACAAAAAGCTAGTCACATAAATAAAAATATTTACAATTAAATACAAATGTTATAGACATTAAAAAGATCACACAAGATATTCAAAACCACTTTGCATGTCAAAAAAAATGAGTAAATATCCAGTAGAATAAATTTTTCAGAAACCAGTGTAAAACAAAATAGAAAACTTGAAAACTCTTACAGTCATCAAAGAAATTAAAACAGTAGTTTTAGAACTTTCAAAAAAAAAAATCTGCAGGTGCAGATGATGGCTTCACCTACAAGTTATCCAAATCTTCCAGGAAAAAATAATTCCAATTTTAAACAAGTACTTTCAGAGAATAGAAAAGGGGAAACTTCCTAGCTCATTTTAATTGGCCATCTTAAACCTGATTCTATACCTAAAAAGAACATTATGATAAAGAAAAATTACAGGCAATTTTACAAACATAGATAAATAAATCATAAACAAAATATAGCAAATCAAACTGATTTATATACAGAATTTAATTCACAAATTCAAAGTAGGTTTAACACTAGAAAACGAATTGAAAGGGGCCCCAGTAAAAGATTAAAAAGCAAAATAACATGACTGTCTCAATGAATGTAAAAAAACATGATAAAGTTCAACAAGTATTCATGATTAAAAAACAAAACTCTTAGCAAACTAGGAACAGACCAGGACTTCCATAATATAATGAGGGTATTTTAAAAAATATATAGCACATTGGTTTAAGAATAAAGTGTTGCAAGTTTCCCCTTTAAAGATGCCAACTATCACTTCTATTCAACATTATATCGAAGGCTCTATCCAGTAAAATAAGTTATAAAAGAAATGAAAGGAAGAAATGAAACTGCCGTTATTCACAGATGATTGTGTATGCAACAATAAGAAATCTATGCATGTCATTAGTTTAACAATTTTGCTGGAAATAAATATTATTGTACAAAAATCAAACCTACTTTCACATAAAAGCAATCAACAGTTAAAAAATAGAATTTTTAAAAATTCTCACCTGAGGATATGTTCATTGATTTTTAGAGAGAAAGGAAAGGAAGGAGGAAGGGAAGGAGGGAGGGAAGGGGAAGGAGAGGAGGAGAAGGAGGAGGAGAGACAGACAGACAGACAGACAAAAACAATGATCAGCTGCCTCCTGTATGGGCCCCAACCAGGGGTCAAACGCACAATCTAGATATGTGCCCTCATCAGAAATTGAACACAACCTTTTGATGTACCCAACAACACTTTAACCAACTGAGCCACGTAGCCGGGGAGAAAATGGAATTTTTGAAAAACATTTTTATAAGAATATAAGATTATATATAAATGTTATTTTATTTATAGTATAATAAAATAAATACATCTACAAACTATGTACTAAACCTCTTTGGTGAAAACTATAAAAGTTTATGTATTCATGGATATTAGAGAAGACCTAAATAGTGGAGACATCTATCATGTTCAAGGATTAGGAGACCCAACAGTCTAAACATATTAGTGTTTCTCCAAAATTAATCCACAGATGCAATACAATTTCAATAAAAATCCCAATAGGTTCATTGGCTTTCATTTATTTTAGTGGAACTTCATAAGGGGATTATAAAATTTATGTAGAAATAGAAAGGACCAAGAATTAGGCAAGAAATTTTTTAAAAATGCGTAAGCACTTTCTCTACAAGATAGACCATATAGAGGTAGTACTCCAGGGCAATAGAAAAAATAATCTTTTAATAAATGATATTGAGATGATTTGGTATAATATATAAATAGACATATATTTATATATTATATAAATGCAAACATTATATATTATAAATATAAATGTTAAATATTATGTATTTATAAATAGATAAGTATAAATATAATGTAAATATATATTATAAATATAAATATCCAGGGGAACCTGGATCCCCCAAATTCCACTGTGCATAAAAATCAATTCCCTGTACATTTTTAAAATTGTATATAAAAGGAAAAAAACATTTTTATTTATTTATTTTTTATTCAGAAAAGACATTTTTAAATAACATAAGGGAAAGCCTTCAAATTCTTGGAATAGGGAAAAAATTTAAAAAATAAGATACAAAAAATACTAGGAAAAGACTGACAAATAAAAGTATTTTAAAATAAGACACTCTAGTCCTGGCTGGTGTGGCTCAGTGGATTGAGCGCGGGCTGTGAACTAAAGGGTCACTGATTTGATTCCCAGTCAGGACATATGCCTGGGTTACTGGTCAGGTCCCCAGTCGGGGGGATGTGAGAGGCAACCACACATTGATGTTTCTCTCCCTCTCTTCCCCCACCTCTATAAATAAATAAATAAATAAATAAATAAATAAAGCCTTAAAAAATAAGATACTCTAATCATCAAACTTATTATTAAGTGTGTGAAAAAACAAGGCACCATAAGATATATGAAACACTTATAACTGACAACAGGTTTGATCAAGAACATATAAACAAAGGCAGACAACCCAATGTAAAATGGGCAAAATACTCCTGACGCTTTAAAAAAGAAAATCCAAATGGCCAAGATACATATGAAAAAAGTGTGCATCATCATAAGTCATCAGGGAAATGAACTACAACTATAAATTACCAGACCGACAAAAGTTAAAAAGTCTGAAAATTCTAAGTGATGATGAACACATGAAAGAAAGGAAACTCTCATTGGTTCAAGTGTAAACTGAGATGAGCCCTTCTGAAAACACCCTCCAGCATAGCTGGTATAGCTGAAGGAACACATGTTACATGACCCAGCAAATCCCACTCCTAGGAAATACCCTAAATAACAGTACATACATGCACAATAGATACATACAAAAGAATATATAGCATTGCTATTTGTAACACCCAAAGATCAGAAACCATCCATGCACCTATTAACAGAATGGGTAAATAATCTGATCTATAGTCAGATAATGGACTATCATACAGAAATAAAATCAGTGAATTATAGCAACACTTTGTAACCTGGATAAATATTAAACACACAATGTGAAACTAAACTATAAAATTCAGGGATGCAAACCTAGATGGTAAAACTCTAAACAAAATTAAGCAATTACTTCATTAGTCAGGATAATGGGAGCCTGGTAAATAGCTGTGGTGGAGAAAAGCATGCTAAAGATTTTAAAAGGGAGTCCATGTTCTATATTTTGTCCTAAGTGGTAACTACAAAGGTGTTATATTTTGTACCTTGTACACTTATGTTTCACATACTTTTTCATGTGCCATATATTTCACAAAAAGAAAAGCTTAAAAAATGAAAAAGTCAATAAAATTGAAAATAGTGGCCACTGAGGGGAGAGATGGAGCATATTGAGGGCAGACTGGGAACTTCTAAAGTACTTGTAATGTGCTATTTCTGAAGATGGGTGGTAGGTATACCACTCTTTCTTCTATTACTTTACTTTAACTGAGCATGTTCTTTATATATTTTTCTGTACATATAATATCAAAAGTAAAAAAAATAAAAGGAAAAATTGGTAACTTAAAATTCATCAAAGATAAACATTTTTGCACTTTAAACGACACCATCAATAAAGTGAAAACAGCCCTGGCTAAAATGGCTCAGTGCACTGAGTGCTGGCCTGTGAACCAAAGGGTTGCCTTCCATTCCCAGTCAGGACACATGCCTGCACTGCAGGCCACGTCCCCAGTGGGGGGCGCTCAAGAGGTCTAATCGATGTATCTCTCACGCATGATGTTTCTCTCCCTCTCTTTATCCCTCCCTTCCTCTCTCTCTGAAAATAAGTAAATAAAATGTTAAAAAAAAGTCAAAATGATAATCCACAGAAAAGGAGAAAATATATGAAATCATATATATGGAAGTTGTACCTAGAATACATAGAAATATGTATTCTATATTCTATATACATAGAATATATAGAAAACTCAGGTCAGTAACAAAAAGATGGATAACACACTTTTCAAATGGCAAAGGATTTGAATGGACTTGTATCTAAACGAGATAGATATACAGAAAGATGTGCCAATAATCAAATAAACAGGTGCTCAACACTGGTACATATTAAGGAAATACAAATCAAAACCACAGTGAGATGCCACTTCATACACACCCAGGTGGCTCTAATACAAAAAAAAAAGAGAAGATAAGTGTAGGTGAGGATTTAGAGAAACAGGAACCTTTTTTTTTATTCATAGCTAATGAGAATGTAAAATGGTGCAGCCACTTTGAAAAGAGTTTAGAAGTTTCCCAAAACGTTAACCATAGAGACGCCACACCACCCAGCAAATCCACTCCTAGGTACCTACCTAAGAAAAACAAGAACCCATGTGCACACAAAGACATGTCTACAATGCTCACAGCAGCACATCCCAACTGCCAAAAAGTAGAAATAATCCAAATGTTCCACTGATAAATGGTTAAAATATAGTATAACAATACAAAGGAATACTATTGCTTTGGCAATAAAAAAAAGTACTGATACATGTGATAACATGGGTGAACCTCAAAAACATTATGCTTAGTGAAAGAAGTCAGACACAAAAGATTACAGTGTATAATTCCATTTATACAACATATCCAAAATAGGTAAACCTATACAGACAAAAATGGATTAGTTGCTGCCTCTGGCTGAGGCTCAGGAAATAGGGAGTAAGGCTAACAGGCCTAAGGGTTCTCATTGGGGTTATGGAAAGGTTCTAAAATTAGATTGCAGCAACAGCTCTGCAACTCTGTAAATATATCAAAAACCATGAAACTGTACATTGAAAATGGGTCAATCTTTTGATATGTAAATTATCCCTGTTAAACCTTTTTTTAAAAAGTTGTCAAGTAGGACAGCTTCCACAAATGTTGCATTCTTCTGAAAGAAAGTCATTCAAAATTTTTAGAACTTCATCTTGCTCTATTGTTTCCATACCACCATATCCTTCCCTCTTTAAGGGGGAAAATTACATGGGCAGAGCAAATATTAATTTTTTTAAACATGAAAATGTATAAATCTTCACAGATTAAAAATATCTCATTGCTAAACAACTGAGAATATTTCTTAGGGCTGATTAAGATTAAAATGGCTTTAAAAAAGAATATAGGTTACATAGCAAGACAACTTTCAAAATTCTGAATGACAGAAGACAAAGCTTTATACCACAAACCAAGCCAGAGTACAGTACTTCTGCATCAGCTAAGACAATAAATAATTGAGTTACTTAAGAGTACATCCTTGTAAATATCTGTCTTTCCAGAAAAAACTTCTATAGGAGGGTTGTTTTTACCGTTGATGTGAGGAGGAAACTGCCGGGCCTTGTTAGTTGAGGAACTGAGGTTCCTGCAATTGCCATGGCAACTGTCTGGCTTATCATGCTTCCACTCTCACTTTCATAATCATCAGTGGCTATACAAATTGGTCTTCCTCGTTGATTGTGAGTTTCTAGAAGAAATAATCCGAAAATAAAAAAATAAAGCTTCTGTTTAGCTTAATTTAGTTATTGAGTATACAATTCCTTTTCCTATTCTCTACTACTCTTAAAAAAACCCTGTTAATATGTAGTATTTATCCTTAGAGTTACTTCTTTTAAACAATATTTTCAGTAATTTAAACACCAATTCATTCCTAGAGTAGTAATTTATAGTTTTGTAGTGAACCTTTACCTTGCTATTAAAAGAAGATACGATAATTTAAACATTTTTGCCTTCAAGTAAGGAAATCCATTTAGTGATTAAAATACTGGAAAAATTACTCAACTATCAGTACTTTACAGGCAAGGAGTCGGTTATTTTTGTATCACCAGCACCTAGTGAAGTTCTCAATATATATTAGGTAGTAAATGTTTGTTTTTATTTTTACTGAACTGGAAGTATTTTTATCAAGTTAATAGCTAGTTTAAATGCATCCTACAGTATCTTCTTTAGAGCAAATGAAGGATTTCAAGTAAATTCTAAATATGAAAACAACAGCAAAAATTTATGGGTCTTAATTTTTAAAAAGCAACAAAGCATCTTATTAACCCAAATGTTAGCAATAAACCTAATTTTTTTTATTCAGGTGAATATTCATTTTAAATTATATTTATATGAATAAAACTGACACTGAGAGTAGTAGTCAGCTTTTAGGTTTTCTTGTATTTTTTTTAGAGGAACAGAAAGTACACAAAATTCTATTTCCTAACAAGTAGGAATAGAAATACTATACAATTATTATTTTAAATTGTCATTAGAAACTACTTATAGAAAACTTTCACTGGATTTTCTCACATTGTGAAAAGATTTTTAGTGATACAGTTAGGTATTTACAGTCAACTTATATCAGTATACCTTTCCTTGTATTTCTCTTCTTAAAATAAGATCTTTACTCTCAAGAAAATTTCTAACACTTTTAGATATTGAAGTTTGCCTTTAAAATCTGTCTCAGAGAGACTGAGTACCTGTAAAATCATACAGCTGAGGAACAGTCTCCATGATGATGCCAATCAGAGGGAGATACAACATGGCCACCCGCGCCTTTATCTGGGGGTCAGAGTACCGCGGGTCGGAGTCATGACTGGATAGTAAATTGTGTACCATATTGATGACTTTCTTATGCAATCCAAACAATCTATTTAAAAAGAAGATGGAGGAAAAGAAGCAGTAAGATCAAAGAGATTAGTTAATACCTTTAAAACAAACAGTAAGCCATGGAACCAAATCAATTTGTTCAACTTAACTTTGCCCCATATTGGTATGTATTTATATAAGCACACTTTTCATTTTAAATTTAATAAATGTCTATATAAATAAGAACTGAAGTAAAATAAATCTTATACAAATTCACTTAGGAGTAAACCTGGATACTTTTATATTAACTCCATATTAGTGCATTTTAATATTAGATAAGAGCAGTTATGGTTATATTTTAAAGCAAAAAAAAAAGAGGAAAATTTTAAGTAGCTATAAATTTTATTTGATCAAATGAAATATTTTCACATTTACCAAAGTAAACTTTTATTTCCTTTTTCCAAAAGAACAATTCTCTACCCACTGGATTATGTAGTCCACAGGCTGGAATTGCCTTTAACATCTATTTAAACTAAACTTTCTCGCTCATTTACTTCACTTGGGCTCTTACAACTTTCCTAGAATTCCAGTCACTTGCATTTCTACTGGGTTAATATACTAGCAAGGGCCACTCTTCACACTTTTTTTTGTTTGCCTCTCTTCTTAAACTGAAGGCACTCTGACTATGCGAACAATTCCAATTAAAAATCCAACTTCAACTGGCCCTTCATGATGTATTTGGCACCAGTTTCAGATCTTAGTCTCTCTCCTTAAGTCTCTCACCATCAATCTCAGTAACAGACCTTACCTCCAACTCCTTTCTTTTAGAAAAGAAAGCCATTCCAAATTTTCTCTGGTCACACTTCTTAACATATCTTTCTTTATAGCTATAGGTTCACCTTTTCTTTTGTCTCAGAAAAAGTTGTATCTTCTCCCAGAAAGTAAATTCCCCATATGTTCAATGAATCCCATCCATTGCAACAGCTTCAACGTTTCCCTTCCTTCTTCAAATACGCCTTTCCTATCTTGAAAATATACATTCACTTGAAACTAGATTCCTCTAGCTTATAGAGTATTTCACTTAGCAATAAACTGTTATGATGTCCCCAATAATAAACTCACTGAATGTTAATTCTATACCAGGTGTTTCTATTTACTCCCTACAATCTACTCCCTTTCTTTATAACTAATAGTATTTGAGTGTTTACAACATGGTACTGTACTATTGTTACTGGTAGACAGTCTGTCCAGAATACCAGGAAGTCTCCCCCCACTGGCCAAGATGCAGTATGGGTGGTAGGTTATTACATTGAGTGTGCAAAAGGCTAGCAAGATAATTAGGTAGGAACAAGCCTTCCCCACTTCTGGTACCAAATTAAAGGTGGGACCAGGGGAAGACAGGCACATGCACCATAGAAGTCAAATGGTGCAGGGAGAGGTGCTGGACCAAAGAGGCCTGTCCGTTTAGCCTGGAGAAAGAAGAGATTGGTTGGGAGGTGGACTCAACTGAAGCATGAAAGTGCCTGGTCTATCCCATACCCAAACTAATATAATCCAAGGAGAACAAAGAAACGCTCTCTTGCTAGTGGCTCGCTTGCTCATGACCTGCAACTGCATGGGGCACTGGCCTGTTCTCTCATGGGCCACGTGGCCTTAACAGCCACATGGCCCATGGCTTACAGGAGGGAATCCCTCTCTTGCCAACCTGGTGACGCCTTTGCTGGAGCATTTGTGTGCTCTCTCTCAGGTGCACATGACCTTGCAGCCCTAGCAGCCACATAGTGTTGGGAACCGCCCTGACTGGTATTAGAAGCTGAGACCCCCGCCTAGGCTAAAGCTAAGGGAACGCCCTTGGAACCGTGAGCCAGCAAGGAGAAAAAAGCTTATCTCCCTGGCAGTAATGCTGTTTCTGCTGCCGAACCCCAAAAAAGCTTGGTCGGTTAGCCAAAGACGGGTAAGATTCCCCACGAGGGGAACAACCCAAGCCAGGCACGATCACTTTGGGAGGCCCCCCAAAAGAAGGACTTGGGGGGCTGCAGCAAAGGGGGGTGATGGACCCTCACTCCTCGGCTTTGACAAAGTCTGAGTTCTCAGCGTCCGGAAGAAAATCTCCTTATCTCTCGGTGGCTTTAGTTCCCGCGCTCCACCTAAGCCTGAAACAATGACGGGGAAGTACAGCTCGGTACTGGGAAGTGCGGATTTCCCGGGGTGATCAGGCCTAAGAAAGAACATGTAAATTACTGTGAAACCTTCTTTGTCCAAGAATGCTCTTAGTTGAATGAGGAGGGTCTTAGGAGGAAGCTAGTTTGTTCCTCAGCCTTACAGCTCTTTGACCCCCAACTCAATAGACCGGCAGAGTTCTTTGTTTTATATGTTCCTTACTTCCCCTAATGAGTATTGTACGTTACCTGAGTTATTATGTAGCATGAGCCCAATAAAAGCAGGTATGGACTGTAAATCGGCGCGCTCCCTCACTAGAAGGGGGTGGCCATTCTGTCCCTACTTCTCCCACAGAAACTAGTTTGTCTCTGTGCATGTGTGTTTTTTCTCGCGTGTTTATCGTCGAGCCATCCACAGTGTGCCGTGGTCACTGCTAGCCGGTGACCCACGCGCAACAACATAGCCCATGGTCACATGAACCCCACACACAGGCTCCAGGCAGGGAGCTTCACACAAACAGGAGCCAGGAACAAGCTAAACTAACTACCTGGATGACTGCTTAGGAACTGCCGATGGGCTTTAGAGGACTGCACTTTAAAATGGAACAGAAAACCTGGACAGTGCCTTCTGTCTTGGTTTTGTGGAGGACATGAGCTTTGAGACTCTGCCATTCTCCCAGACAGCAAAGCACCTGAATAAAACCTCTTTCCTTTAACTCCAACATCTGCCTCATGAGTTTGGCTTTTGTGGTGACAGGCATCCAAATCTCTGTTTTGTGTTTTTGGTTGGTTACACTAGTTTCATCATTTAATAGCTAAATGATTTTTTTGACGATACTTAACGTCTGTGTCCTTATCTATGTATGAGGATAATTACCTACCAAATGTGGTTGTGAAAATTTATATAATTTATGCAACATGCCTAATACCATGCCTTGTATATTGCCTTCCTCAGTAAATATAATATTAGCTTTTATCTCCTTTAAAATAATATAGATTTAAAAGCTGGAATTTAAAACTAAGGAGTTTTACTTCAGAGCCCCTGATCTTATCTGCCATTTTATATAGCTGCCTATGAAGCATAATTGGAGATTCTTCTCCCTTCCAGATTTTTATTCAGAAAGTATATTTTTAAACACCATCAATAACCACATTTCATGAACATATTTCATTTTTTAGCTTTCTACTTGACACTTTGTAATCATGCATCTTCTCTATATTTCCTCCCCTTCCTCATACTATTATTCCTCTCAAGTTTCAGATTCTGGTCATTTGCTCTTTATGCTCTCTGTTTCTACTTCATGTATTACCAGTGACGACTCCCAAACTTGAAGGTGTATTCCTTACATCTTAGCAGCTACCAACTCTAGACTTCAGTCTATCTATGCTCTACCCATCATCTTCACAAAGCCTTTTTGTATGTCTACATTCCTCAGACACATGCCGTAATTAAATATACACTTACACAGGATATGTAATATCCTAGTCTAGAGGTTGGAGATAAGACATTGCCCTGTACTTAAAAAACTCATTTTAGTAAGGGAGGAGAAGACAGAAAAATAATAATTCAATGTTCCAAATGTTATAATACAGATGTTAACCTTCTACAGAACCATGTCTGTACTACAAAATTAGCATTTAATCATAGTGTACTGTTTCAGTCTTAACTTTCTTCCTATAATGAAAGTTTCTAGAGAAGAAATCTATGATCAATATTAGAACACATTATTGCCACTCAAGGAATTTTTCTTGATTACTTAGCAAGCTGATAGGATAAAAAAGAAAAGCATTCCTCTCAAGGATTTTATCGAAGACAATTATATTTTATCTATATACCACTAAAGAATGTATAACTTAGAGATGAGATGCAAGTCTCTTACAGTCAATCATCCATTCATTAAATTAACATAGGTTTATCAAGTGTCCACTTTGTACCAGACACAGGTCTAAGGCATTGGGAATACAGCAGTGAACAAGGAAGACAAAGAGCCTGTTCTGTGAGCTCACATTCTAAGGGAGGAGACAGATAAGCAAATTCCAGATAAGAGCAAGTTGTAGAAAACAAAAGAGGATTACATGATTGAGAATGGTTGTGGCGGGCTACACAGCTATAATTTAGCCATGGTCAACGAAAGCCTCATTGAGAGAATGCTGTTTGAGTGGAGACCTGAAGAATCACAAGGAGGAAATGGGTATGTGAAGATCTGTGGGCAATTTGAGCATTGCTTCAGACGGAGAAAAATCCAAGTGCAAAGGACCTAGGGTGTAACAAATCTGGCACATCAGAGAAACAGAAAGAAGGCCAGGATGGCTAGGTTTCAGTAGGTGAGGAGGGAAGAGTATGGTAAAAGTAGGTAACAGTTAGATATACAGGGCTTTGAAGACCATTATTAAAAGTTTGGATTTTAAGTGCCAGTTTTAAAGCATACATTCAAAATGAAGACTTTAAAGCAAGAAGAGAAATAATCTGATTCTCATTTCTGAAAGATCATTCAGGCTGCTATGTGGAAAAGGATTTTAGGGAGGAAAGAGTGGAAGTGTAATTAGGAAAGTAGCAGTGAGGATGCAGAGAAGAGGCTAAACTTGGGATGTATTTTGGAGGTAGTACCTGTGGAATTTGCTAATGGACTGGGAGTAGGAAACAGTGGAAAAAGAAAGAAATAAGCAGCAGTAAAAACTAAGAATATAATCCTGTATACCACTATTTAAAGCTCTTCCCGTATCTTGCTTGACTGAATAGACAAAGAAAAGGTGATACTGAACACAATTACCATTGCTTTCTGGACTTTATAGAAAATCTTTCCAAGTGTCAAAGACCAAACATTCTAGCTTGAAGAGGTAAAAAAAAGCATAAAAAATTCTTTCAGAACAATATAGGATGAAAATTCTTTCATCCTATATTGTTCCACAGAAATATAACAAACCTATTTTAATAGAATTGATCATTCACATGAAAAATAAAAACCTCATTGCAAAAACAGCTATTAGAATTCTCTTTTATATCAGACACTGCTGAACAACTATACATTTACTTCCCATCTTCCTTCATAGGAGAAGTGGATTATTTTCAGATATACATTCCTCCCCGCTATGACGCAGAAGAAGGTGACTGTATTCCATTTCAGTAGTAGATCCTAATTAGACTAGCCCTGCTACTTAAAGCAGCCAGTTGGCAGACCTGTTTTGTTACCAGACTGAGAACAGATAAATGTTAATCAACTCATTGCTTCCTTAATTGAGGCCTACAAAAAAAAGTCATAGGAGCTAAACGCTGTGTTTAGTGACATAGTTGATTCACAACGATCTTGTGCTCTGTAAAAACCCCATAAATGGATACCAGCCTAAGCACCACATTTGAATGGGACTGATCCAATCTGCCCAGCACCCTGGTACTGCTCTGGTGACTGCAACAGGACAGGAGAGGCAAGTGAGCCAAACCAGTATGAAGAAAGGTTTGCATTGCACACTTGGGAAGAGCGTTTTGCCCTCTTTCTCCTGCTAGACATGAACAAGTAAGAATTTCATCTGAATTGCCAGGGAGAGCTATCTTGTAGTTATGAGAGACACAGCCTTAGGGACACAGCATCTAATAGAGTTAAGAGACATAAAGAACCAGAACCCTCATTAACATCATTGTGCTACTGATTATACTGTTTAAAAAACTTCATTGTTCTTCCAATTATGAAATAATAAACTTCCTTCCTTTAATAAAGCCAGTATTAAGAAAGGTTTCCTGTTTCTTATAACCAAAAATATCCTGATATATCAAGTAAAAATACTGGAAATATATATATTCAAATGTTTGACATATACCAGTTATTTTTTAAAAGCTAGTATGGTTTAGAAGTTGTTTTCAGAGTAGTTTTTCTCTTAACAATGAATCCCCTCCTGTATCCCAAATTTCATCACACGCATATGTCAAATACCAAAATATAAAGATGGTGGCATGCAGGGATGGAAGCCCTAGAACTTCAGCCACTTAGTCTGTCCTCTCCATACCCCAATGTCTGCACTCCCCTAAGCCATCCTCCTACATGGACCCCCATGAAACAACTCTTCCAAATCCAGTGTGAACAACTACTTCTTTAAAATATATTCCTAAAATGGGGCATTGCCATAATAAAGGAGGCACTTTCGTTTTCAAGATTGAGCCTTTCACAATTTACTGAACACTGATTATGGCCCTAACTCCTGCTAAGAACTTTTCAAACCTCCTCTTTCATTCCTTCAATAAATACATCTGTGGACTCTTGTAAAACCTGTGCAAAGGCATTTCCTTTTGTTCTCTGGAGCTCCCACATATGAGGTCCAATTGCATTATAAACTCCTAACTGAAAAAGAAAGTGATTATTACCCAAATGAGTCATGGTCATATAAACTTTTAAAAATAACTATTAAAGTGGAAGTAGTCTATGGGAATGCTAGACCACAACACATCGAGCTACTCCTATAAATTCAAATCACCAGACAATATACCCTTCCTTTTCTTACTATATCAGTTTCCAAAAATTCTCTAAAAGTATACACAATGTTACAAGTTTTTAAAACCTAAGGATTTTGTGTATAGGGTAAATTTCGAAATAAAATGCTGCATAGTATGGTGGTAAATGATAAATTCTCCTCACTTTTTATCAACAAATCTATGCATCTATCTACTTGAATGCACAAATATTTATGTACTTTTAAGGAAAAAAAATGCTACTGAATAAACCATGATATACCACCAATTTTAAGACAAATCTCAAATTCAGGGATGACAAAATATGAAAAAATGACTTTTGTAAAATTGATGAAATACAGAAATACCATGGGTATAGATCTTAGCAAATAGAGAAGTAGAACAGTGGGGGAAAGTATTTTTTTGAAACTTAGAAAGTTTAAGTGGACTACTTCTGTCCCATTGTCTAAAGTCAAACTGATATTCTACAAGGCAAAAATGGTCTACTCACCCTTCAGCATCAGGGTCTAAAATGACAGCCAGCTCTGTTAATACAAGTCCTGCCAAGTAATGCTGTTGGCGGAAAGGCACAGACAGTTCAAACATATTTGCAATCTTCTGGTCTTGTACATTGGTGGAAAATCCAGAACTCTGTTTGGGAGTGAGGTAGAACAAACTATAACAGATGTGCAAGACAATATCCTATAGACACAGCATTACAACAAGTATAATGTGAGCATCATCTGAAAGTGAGATAAATTTTGCCTAGGGTAATCTGTTGCCTAGGGTTTATTATAGATCATTATTACTAATTTTGGAGCAAGTAACTGCTCTTACTTTTGGTATAGAAAACTATGGTGAAATATACTTTTAATTATTTTCAATTTCTTTTATCTCATACTAAAACTTTCCATCTGTTTTTCTTTATTCTTTTAGCCACTTAATGTTTTAATATTATACTCTGAATAGAAAAAAAAGCAACTAAGTTAAATAATACACAGTGTGGCGCAAAAGTAGGTTTAGAGTTGTGAGTATGCAAAGTACAGAGTTTATTGTATTATTTATTAATTATTGTATTATTTCCATGTGAACAACTGTAAACCTACTTTTACCCCATCCTGTATTATGTATTTCCTGGTGAATAGAGGGAAATATTTATATTCAAGGCTACTGGTTTCCAGAGAAATTTCAAACAGGTAAAACAGCACCTCAGAGAAAATACTATCTCTAGAAAATACTATCATTTTATGGTCAAATTACTGAGTTTTTAAAAAGTTTTTTAATACTACAAAATAGCATCCCCCAAGATTTAGCTCAAGGCAAGAAAGTCCTCAACTTCATCCCCTCAAAACCATAATTCAAGACCATCCATGCGAGATTTCTTAAAAGAACAATAGATTTCAGATTTCTCTATGAAGAAATCCTATTCCTAATAAGTATATAAAATTCCTCTATCCTTCCTCTCCCCAAAAGAGTGATGTCTCTGTCATATATAAGAATCTGAAAATTATGTACTGTAATTAGATGACAAGGTGGGGAACAAGATAATGAAAGAAATTCTGTGAATTTCTTGGCTGAATGAGATGTTTAGCAAGGGGCTGCGTATAAACAAATGTGTTTAAAGGTTTTAGAAACATACCTATGCTAAATTATACTTGACTGGGTAGCCATATCTTTGGAAGAGGATGGGGGAGGAAAGCAAATGACTAGCTTCCTCTGTTACAGGAAGAACTGTATACTAGTCAGGTACAAGATGTGGAAGTAAGATTTTTTGCAAAGGTAAAGTGAAAAGTTGTGGGTGCTTTCTGATGTTTTCCAATCTTTTTAAGTGAAGTTTAAAATGTTCTTTCATCAAGCATCTGACATTGATCTAGACTAGAGAATTACATTAACGAATTAAATATCTCAAAAATAAATTAAGAAGAGTTAAGATCAATTTTGACTTTAGACATTAAGAGCTTAAGGAAGCAGCTTGTTTGCTTCAGGAATCATTGCTTCAGGAATCATATAGCAGGAAGAACGTTTCACTGGGAGGGAAAAATCCAGGCTTCTTTGATACTAAAATCACAAAATTCCTTAATCCCAATCTGTATAGCAGGATACATGATAATTGTATGATAACCCTTCTTTCATCTTTAGAGAAACTACTATGTACTGAAATCACTTGCCTCCCAATAAACCTATAAACACCCCTCTAGTTTCCTCTGGGTTTTCTAGATACGAGAGAGGTAGGCAGGGCTCCGTCAGACTTACACCGCAATTTTATACCTGAGCCCTTTGTGATTTTAATGCCCCTGGTATTTTGGGGAGCTGGAATTAAACAATATAATTCTTAATCAGTTCCTTTGGCTGTCATATAACTTACAGTCAAAGATTAAGGAAGTATGTTAGTCATGTACTGAAGGACTGCCTGTACAGCAGGTTCCAGGAGAAATGTTTAAAAGTGTGCTCTGCTTGAGATAACAGAAAATATGGCTAATTAAGCACAAAACAATGATAGTTAAACAGTGGCAATAGTCACAGATGTCAAGTTTCTGCCTTTTGCTTTAAAGATAACATCACTGATGCACAATTATTAGATATTTTGCAGAACCTTGGTCCTTCAACTCAGCATTCCTTGTTCTCACAATATAATTTTGTGTTGCTGACATACTGTTTCTTTGTCAAGCAGGAGATAACTTCAGGGCCCCAATGAGAATTTATGAAATTGTTTTGTAGAAGCAAAGAATGTCTTCAAGATAGCTACGACCAGCTGCTGATGCCTAGGAGTCTGATAGGAAAAAGTATTATGTCACTAAAGAAACATGGACTTCTCTCTCAGTTCTCTGGAACTCCCCCCACCCCACCCCCTTTCCTAGCTACACTCCTTATGTTTGTTTTTTGAGATGAATTTGAGAAATCTTGCTGTCTCAGACTCTCACTTCAATGAAATCAAACAAACGTTTCTGTCTCTAAGCACCACTGGTATCTCAATGTTCTGGCCTACTAGTGCATTGGGTACACAAACCTGAATTTTGAGAGGTAATTCTGCAATAGTTTGACTTCTTTCTCTACTAAATTATGCTTCATCCCCTTCCTTTTACTAGTATTAATCCTTAATAAATACCTTGCACCCCAAACTTCGTCTGTGTGTGCTTCAAGAAAACCCAACTTGTGAAAATATCTGAATATGTGAGTTTATGTAGGTAAATTCACTCACATGCGCATAAATCTGTAAGAGGAGGACAAAGCAGTGCTTAAGATCGTGGGGTCTAAAATAAACCCAACATTCAAAGTACTGTGTAAGTTATATGGTCAGTAATACTGTAGTAACTATGTGTGGTGTCAGATGGCTGTTAGACTAATGGGAGTGATGACTCTGTAAGGTACATAAATGTCTAATCACTATGTTGTATATCTGAAACTAATGTAATATTATATGTCAACTTCATTTGAAAAATAAATTTAAAATAAAGCCAACGTGTGTTGGTTCAAAGCCCGGATCTGCCATTTTACTGTGTGATCTTGGCTAAGTTATTGACCTTTCTGTGTTCCAGTTTTTTCATCTGTAAAATGGGGAGAGTATCAGAATTTACCTCCTAGAGTTGCTCTGAGAATTAAATGATTAATACTTACAAAGCACTTTAAATATAGAGACTAGTATACAGCTGTTATTCAATAATGTACGTATAACTTTTTCCAGTGTTTAAAATGCTTTTCCACAAATGTGAACTTTAAGAATATTTTTTTCACACTTTGCATACCTGAGATGTTGCAGAAGAAACAGAAGGTGATGGTGATGCTGGTGGTGTAAGCAGGCTGCAGGGCAAGTTTAATGTAACATAGTGCTCATGGCTGCAGATGATTCGCAGAAAATCCAGCCTCAAGGACACCAGGACACTTGGATTTGGTAATGAATAAAGCTTTGAAGACACCTTGTAAGCATTGCATAAACAAGAGAACCCAATTTAATATATCATTTCTCTATTACCAACACCAGAATGACAGATTAAAGAATTAAAGAACAGTATTCATTGGGCAGCTTTGGGTTTTGTGGTTAAATAATATTATAGCTTTCTCCAGAATTACATTAACATAAAAAATTTTGAAATATAATATTTACTGCATATATCCACTGACTGGGGTAAAAGCCACATTCTTGTTATTTCCAATATAGCATGAATATTTCCACTTTTGAAAGATGCACACATGAAGGAAAAGTATACCACCAAAATAACTTCATAAAAAAGTATGCATTATTTTTACAGTATCTTGTGTTAACCTACATTCATAATTATCTATTTGCCTATTTGCCCAGATATACTATAAACTACTTGAGGACATCCATAAACTGACTTAATAACTTTAGCATTCCTAGGGTCTAGCTCAAAGTCTGGCACATGTAGGTGGTTAATACTTGAAGAATAAAGACAGGAATGGGTTTTAGAAGCAACAGTACGTGAAATTTTGGGGGCAAAGTAAAAATACATACTGTAGCAAATATTTGCAGTGAGTTGGAACCCACACATAGTTTTAACTTCTTTATTAAAAGAAACATACAATAAAGGCATCCAATAGAACAGATCTTCAAAATTCTAAATATTAGACCATCAAATAGCATTCTTAAACAGCAGTTCCCAAAAACTAATCTGTCAATCAGCTGGGAAGTGCTTCACAGCACTATATCCCACACTCCCTACCCCCGACCCCACCAGAATTCAAACTCCTCAATAATGCTGGGATGGGATCCAGATTTAAAAAAAAAAAAAATATATATATATATATATATATATAGAGAGAGAGAGAGAGAGAGAGAGAGAGAGAGAGAGAGAGAGAGAGAGGGAGGGAGAGACACTTTATTTATTTATTTATTTATTTATTTGCGGGGGTTGGGGGGAGAAACACAGAGAAAGAAACATCAACATGAGAGAGAAACATCGAGATCAGTTTTGTCTCTCACATCCCCCAACCAGGGACCAGGCCCAGAATCGAGGCATGTGCACTGACTGAGAATCCAACTAGTGATCTTTGCTTTTCAGTACTCCACCCAACCAACTAAGCCACACCAGGCAGGGTAAACTATATATTATCCTTTTAAACCTCCTTTAAAAGGCAACTCTAGGGTGATCATACAGCTTACTAGAAAAACTGCCTATCAGATCCAATAATGAATGTTTTTCAAAAGGCAAATTTCATTAATCAGTTGAAAATTTTAAAAACAAAATCAGCTGTTTGTAGAAAAGTTCCAGGATGCTTTTAGTTTAATAAAAGCAAAATGAATGAGCTTCAGGACATGGGTAAACATCTGTCTATGATTTTAAACCCTACGAAGTCCAGGGTTGCATTAGGAGGAATGCATAGCTGCTTTATATATCACTGAAGACACAAAAATGCAGTTAGTTCTTCACTTAGTATAAAAACTACTCTTGAATGGTATCTGGAGCTGCTTTACAGTTAGACTACTGACTTGATGGTGTGCTCCAGAATGGGAATTAAAGAATAATGAGTGGGCCAGTGTAGCACAAGGAAAAGCCAGCTATACTGATACCAGGTTTCCATAGCCTTGTATCTTGATTAAACAAATGTAATGTAGTTTTGCCTTAGTAATAAAACTATGCTTTTTTTTAATGCCAGTATATGTATGTGTTCTTGAAGATTTCTTAACTGTACCTGTAAAAAGAGCTGTTGGGAATCCCCCTGCCTGGTTTCAGAAGGTATAACCCCCATGGCTAAGGCTGAGTGAGAGACTTTGGGACTCTAAGCCACTAAGGAGACAAAGTTTATCTCCCTGGCAGGGATGCCTCCTCTACCACCTCTTCCCCTTTACTTCACCCTGCTTGGCCCCGGGACAGATGACTGGTTAGCCAATGACTGGTAAGATTCCTCAAAAGAGGGATGACCTAAGATAGGCACGGTCATGAATGGGTCCTCAGGGAAGGACTTGGGGGGCTATAAAAAAGGGGTGATAGACCCTCACCCCTCAGCTTTGACATAGCCTGAGTCTTCATTCTGTCTGCAAGAAGACTCCTAATCTCTTGGCTGCCTTACTTCCTCTGTCTGACTTAAGTCTGAAACAATGCCAGAGGTGGGTACAGCCCTGTGCTGGAAAGGACAGGTTCCCTGGGGGGATCAGGAGGCCTAAGAAAGAAAAATCTTGTGAAACCTGCTTTGCTAATACCCTCAATTTAAATGACAAGGGTCCAAGCATGAAATGAGTTTGTTTCCTCCAAGTTTCATGGCCCTTTAGCTATCTGACCTTGACTCTAAATAAGCCCTCATAGTTCTCTGAATGTTATCTACTGTTTGATCCTTACTGCCTAACAATGATTGATGCATTTTAGTATATGCCCTGTATTCCTATGCAAATAAGCCCAATTAAAGCCCATTGAGGAACAGGCTCCCAGCCCTTCTCCTTTGGGAGAACAGCCATCTTTCCTCCCCAAGCAGATCATGTCTTGGTAGAATTATTCTCATCTGTGGCAGCTGGGGGGCCCTGAGCGCGGAGCCCTCCCACAAAGAGCAAACATAGCATTTAGGTTATTTGATTACTGATTATTACTAATTATGCATTACCTGTTTATAGCAGGTCTTTATAAGACTAAAGACAAATCCTCTGTCCATAACAGACAACAGATCATTGAGAAAAAATGCAAGACTTGTATTGAGTCTTTCAACCATTTCTGTGTCCTGAGAAACAGAATAAAAAGAAAAAACAAGAGTATGAGAGTTTAATATGAGCTTTAAAAAGATTTAACAAAAAAAGTAACTCATCATTACCTTCTGAAATCGTGAAACTATGTCACTAGCAATTGTACTGACGAGAGCAGCAATGTCATCCATAAAACGTTCTGGAAAACGAGTTTTCCTTGGTGCATCGAGTTTATCATTAAAGTATAAATAGTGCACCATGCTCTTCACCTGAAAACATAAATAAGCCATTAGTTTAATTTCTTATGAATGCAATTAACAGTTACAGAAACTCTAAATAATGGGGCTATTTTTTCAGTATGCCACATGATTTAATAGGTGGCTGAGATACAACCTTTTAGCTCCTCAAATATTCTGAAAAGTTCACTATAATATTTTGTATATTCCAAAAAAATAACAAATAAAATATAATTCAATCACTGCATCACCTTCATAAAATTACCTTAGCGGTCAACAGGAAAAGAAAATACTATGTATGTCAAAAAAAAATCACCCTTTAAAGTTGTTTTAAATTAAGTCTTTGCAAGACTCATTAATGTTGCCATCCCGTGTCCCCCAAGCTGTGAGCCAGCTAACTAAAGGTCAGAGACCTTTACTTCCCTGTAGTGTCTCTGGCGTCTAGTATTTAGTCTCAAGTGGTAGATGCATATTAAATGTGAATCACTAAATATTAATTATAAAATATTAAGTAAAAATTAACAAAGTGATTTAAGTTTACAAAATATTTTTGGATATAGATTCTTTTTTTTTTTTAAGATTTTATTTATTTATTTTTAGAGAGGGAAGGGAGGAAGGGAGGGAGAGAGAGAGAGAGAAACATCAATGTGCGGTTGCTGAAGGTCATGGCCTGCAACCCAGGCATGTACCCTGACTGGGAATCGAACCTGCGACACTTTGGATATAGATTCTTATCACAGCAATGTGGTAACAGTAATAAAGATTTTAGAATCAGGGAAATTGAAGCCAAAGTTTTACAGTTAGTAACAGCAGAGCCAAGTCTTAAATGATAGCCTTTTGACTAATTTATATTTAAGAAATCTGAATATACATGTCAGAGTATCAAAAATAAGTCAAAATTATAATTTTCATCTTATATTAAAAACACATGACCCTGGCTGGTGTAGCTCAGTGGATTGAGTGTGGGCTGCAAACCAAAGGGCCACCAGTTTGATTTCCAGTCAGGGCACATGCCTGGGTTGTGGGCCAGGTCCCCAGTATGGGACCTGTGAGAGGCAACCACACATTGATATTTCTCTCCTTCTCTTCCCCTCTCTCTAAAAATGAATAAATAAAATCTTAAAAAAAAAACCACATGTAAAAAGAAAGAAACTCAAATGTAAAAAAACAAAAACAACAACAACATGAATTACAAATTTGGTGTTTATTCTCTAGGGGAAAAATAAGTCATCATTTATGTATGGTCCCTTATTTATTTGATTAGTAAACCCTAGAAGAAATGGCTTTTTATCCTCAAATATCAGTAATATTCAATGCTGAGAATAACCCTGACGTACTCCAGAAGCTCCTTTGTTTTTTTTCTTTCTTTCTTTTAGCTATGTTGTTGATTTCTGCTTTCCAGAGTCTGAAGTGTAAGATCCTTAGTGCCAGAATGCCTGAGTTTGAAACACAGTTCTGCTATCTTCAAGCAGCAAATACTTGAAGTTATTTAATCTCTCTGTGCCTTGGTAATATTCTACTTAGCCCACAGAGATAGTGCTGACACCCTGTACCCAGTTGATAAACACATATATACACAAAAGCAATAAACATTTATGTGTATATACACATAATAAGATACTAACTCATTCATTTTAATGTCAATTATTGAAATAAGCAAAAAAAAATTTTTAATTGGATGTAACTGGCATTTCCCTAAGTATAAAAATATTTTTATAGCATTTCTGACGCTAAAAACAGTATCTATAAGTTCTTTTTATCTGTGTTTGGTATGAAATCTATAGTAACATCATTATACAGTAGCATGTTCAGACTAAGAATGTATCACGGGTCCTTTAAAAAATAACTAGCTTATGCAACCATCCCTAAAAAAAATAATAAAATGGACTTCATAAATTCAACTAAATTGTGCTAATTGTCTACAGTGTTTAATTTAGAGATACAACATATGCAACTTTGCCTTGCAGGAACATGTAAAACCGTAAGATGGACAACAGAAGAAAATTTCTAGTATAACATTATGAGCTAACACAAAAGTGTTTTCTAAGGAAAACATTATTAAAAAACATGTTTATTTTGCTCACCATTAACTCAAAAAAGAACCAGGCTTGTTGCAGAGCTGACTCCCGAACGCTGCCACTGCAAACAACCCACTGCAAAGCCAGCTCCTCATGAAAGAGCTATCCAGAAGTAAAGCCAAAGTTATTATCAAAGTCAAGTCTGTTACTAACACAAACCAAATAATAATGCAACTGCAAATGAAAATATAATGAGAATAAGCAAAATAAGGCATGTGGACCATTCAATGAGGCAGTGAGGACACCCATTAACGAAACGGCTATTTATACATGTAAGACAGTGGCATGTTGAATAGCTGCAAAAATTACATGTTATCTTGCAGTAAAATGTAATTTAAAAAAAAAAAGGTGGGAATAGCCTCCTAAATTGTACCTGCAAACAGAAACTAGACCAAAAACTCATAGTTAAAAATAAAATCTCGTGTGTGCCTTACATACATATTTCAACATATGCAAATACATTAATAAACTTTGCTGGTACAATTTAGGAAGTATCTTTAAAAATTTAAACTTTGATAGACATTAATTTGCAAGTTTTACTATATTTAAAGTCTTTTTATAAAAATGGCAGAAATATCCTGCCTTGTAATGGATGTACATACAAAGCATTTGAAAGGAGTGTATTTTAATATGAAAAAGGACTAACAAAACTGTGCGTAAGGGAAGCAAATCAACATATCTTACTAAGAGTGATAATTTTTCTAACTCATCTTCCTTTTCCTGGAGATTTAAAACACAAAACAAGCAGTTACAGAAACAGAATTAAGAGTTGATACATTTGGCACTAAAATTTGATCAAATTTCAATCACTAAACTCTAAAAATAGTCAATCTCAAAGATATAAACATTATAATAATGGAAAAGAGCCTGTACTGGAAAGGTATGCCCTAAAGGCATCAGACAAGCAGTGCGTGCTCAAACGTATTTTTAAATGCAACGCAAATACCGTAACATCTCATAGTGATTATGTAAAGAAATCTTGTATCTATTTAACTGCTGGAATTATTTTCCCCCTATATGGGTTGCCTTCATATGAATCTACCTTTTTAGTTGGTAAGCGTCCCGTTAATGTTTGTAAGAAACTTGACGTCTCTGTGTGCGAAGACATACGATTACAACTTCGATCCATAGCCTATGGAGTGAAGATGAATGAATGACGAGATAACATTAAAGTCTGCTGTGGATGACTTTGCCGCTCAAGGATTACATACAATATTTAAAATAGTGTTTTATTGTGGTTTCAACAACCATCTATTTTGTCGCTCATCTCATTTTCACCATTTTAAGTTGTTTCAATGCATTAGAAATATCAAAATCGCTTTGAAATATTTTTAGTCTTAAAAAGATGAGTATTTAAATAATCATATAAATTCGGAGTGCTGCAAAGAATGAAACTTTTATTCGTGTGATCTATACACATGCGCACATCCAGTAAGAAAATATAAAAACATACTTCTCAACCTGTCTCAGACCAAAACAAAACAAAAAAAAATCCCAAAATTTTATATTCAATAAAAATATATAAAAAGTTTAGAATGGTTTCTTTTACTTTTTTATTATCAAAACTAGTATTCAGGTTTGCCATTTATTACATGAGACAGAAATCAATCATAATATTAAAATTTAATTCAACTGTTTCTTCAAGAACAAGAACATTTTCCTTCAAAGCCAATAAACAGATGAGAAGTATATTTTAAGGTATCATGCAACATGAGCTATCAAGCAATTAGACTTAAATAAGCAAAACCTAATTCAACTAAGTTATAAATTTCATACTTTGCAACACAGCACAAATTAAAACAGATTTTTTGCTTCTGGTATTTAATCTTATAGGATGGGGAGCATAAACTCTTCACATTTAATTTCTGCTTTATTACCAGTATTTTCTAGTTAGTGATTATGAAGAAAATGACAAGATAATAAATGCTAAATGGAAATGATACAATAGGTATACTTTAAACCAAAAGCAAATTAAAAACTGTCAGTTTTTCCTCACAAAAATTTTTAAATTCCTACTGAAGATGTGCTACCCCTAAAGTAGAAACTGTTATCAAAGCCATCAGTTGCATAAGCAGCAGGCACTGAAATGATGATAGAGTATAGAAGGAGGGAAGGAGATAGGGAAAAGGAAAGCAAAGCAAACTGGTGCAATTGGTGGTATTCATGCATAGTAGTTGAAAATGTGCTAAGTAACACAAAAATGCACACTTTTTAATTATTAAAAAAAGCAAGCCACTGAAATCATAGTATATACTAAAAAGTAATGTTCTAAAGGGAAACATCAGCAGCCAATAAAGAAACCTCTAATATGAACACCACCTGTGTTGATTCTGCACTTGGGCTGGGGTTGGATCCCCATGGGGCAGCTTTTGGACCACCAGTGTTAACCCAGGAATTGGAGCGATCTAAACCCTAAGCATATAATAGAAAGCAGTTGGAAAGGAAAGAAATATTACACGTGGCATGCTATAAATTATTCTTAAAGAAATCCAGACTTTCCAATGCAAACATTTTTAAAATTAGTACTGTTAAAGCAACCCAAATTTTGAGGCACCTACGGAATATTAGTTCACCAAAATGATCTTTTTACTTAAATGTTTAAAACTCACCAAGAACATTAAGTACATCATTTAAAGGTAATTTCTCTTTATGTAAGGGGATCACCTTTAAGTACCAACACTAAAGTTTCCACAGCACCATTCCTCTCAATTCTCTTTAAAGATGGTGTTAGCTAGTTAGTTAGCAACAGATAATTTACTCTGAATATAACTAGGGTTTAAAAGGAAAAAAAAATAGAAGAAAAAGAACATTCCATTCTTTTCTAAAAGACTAATTTCATTCCCTATGTCATCAATTGAGAACAACTGTACAGTGATACTTCATAATTCTCTTTGACTTTGCCTCTTTTTTTATTTTCTTTTAGGGACTGTTAGGAGAAATCAGGTAAAAAAAAAAAAGAGAGAGAGAGAGAAAGTGCCTAATATTTGCTCCTTCTTAAAATGATGGTAAATTTGGGGTTGTGTTTAGTTTTACTGTGCTTGTTGTAATTAAACTTAATGTACTACTATATCATATAAATAGTATATGAGAAAACATTATGCTGGAGCTATTTAAAGGAATTATATCCTCACAGTCACTATCATTAATTTAAAGTTAATTTAATATACAACTACTGCATGTAACCAGAAGTGAAGTATGTCTGTCTGTCTCTGAAAGAGGTTATTATGATCCCAGGTAGAGAGAACTGGGGCTTTACTTCAATTTCTTAAACATGACTGATTATTAAAATAACTTCAGAATGTTTATAAAATTCAAGATTCTGGGCCCTACCCAAAGAAATCCTGCTTTAGTAATCTGGGCTGGGGCCTGGGAATCCGCTAATAGAAGTGGAGCAAGTTATAAGAAATTTTTAGAGAATTGTTGGAATAAGATTTATGAAAACAACCCAAGAGAAACTGACTATAAATATCAGGGCATGAGTATGACCCCAAACCAGAAAATACCAAAAGAAAGATAGATAAAAGAAAACAAAGAGTAGTCACAATGTTAATCAATTCTGTGTAGACAGTATCACCTAGGAAGTTTAACAACCACCACAAATGTGCAGGACCCTACCTCTACACAATTAAATTGTAGTTATGGGGACAGGAGAGAAAGGGAAAGCAAAGGAGAGAAGAGGAGGGAGGGGGAAAGGAAGGGAAGGGGAGGAAGAGAAAAGAGGAGTGGGGAGGGAAAAAGGAGAAGAGAGGAGGGGTTGAAGGGAAGAGTGGGGAAGACAGCCTGCCTGCCACCTCTCAAGGGCTTAGGTTTTAGGAAGAATATATCCTTTTATTGTCCCTATTTTTATAAAAATACAAAGAGGTTGAAATGACACAATAATCACCCATACATTTGACACAGAATGAGTAAGATGAGAATTAAAGTTCAAATCCAGGTTCTACTGCCTTATAATTGTAAAATCTAAGGTGAATTACCCAATCTTTTTTTTAGTTTCTTAGCTATAAATTAGGAATAATGAGTGTCTCCCTCATATTTTAAAGGTCAAATTAAATAATGAAGTAAATTACTAAGTACAATGCCTCAAATATAGTAAACTCTCAAAAAATAGTTTTAACAAAAACTTTGTTTTTCAAAAGCTTCCTAGCAAAGTAAATTAGACAATATTCAAACACTAGTAAAATAATGTAATAGATGTATTTAAAATAAAAACCTTCCTCCTCAGAACCTCATTACAGTATCTCAAATAAAAAGTAAACCAGTGCACGATGTTTTTCAGACAAGCTGAGACAAAATTTCTCACCACTCCCCCACATTCTGTCTTCCCTCTATTAGGTATAAAGTTCCTGACATTTTCAAGTTCTATACTCACTACTCACGTCACAAAAATAACAAAACATGAGCACCTGATTTTTGCAAAATTACAACTGCCTTTTTCTCTACCATAAATTTCTATAAAGAGTAATAATAACTTTTCTGTATTCTTAAATTCACTTTTAAACTCTTTGCTTATTAATTTCCTTTAAAACTAAGATACATGTTAATCAGTCATGTGAGAATAAGCAAATCTCTTTCTGCCATTAATTTCTGTTATATCCACAATACTAAAGCTCTGAACAGTTATAATATATCAAGTAGTTAAATTTAATTAAAGAAAACCTCGGACGATTATTCTGTAAAACAAGTAATTTCCACAAATTAGGTGTTGTAAAGCTAAGAATTATATCAAACAAACCTTAGTTAAGCAAATTCATCAATGTTATTTACTAAGGTAATAACAATGTTTACTGATCTTCAACTAACATAGAAAAGATTAATGAAATACATACACAATGTGCATGAAGTGTTTTTGTTTTTGTCAAATCCCGGTAACATCTCGTCCCTCAGATGTATGGATAGGTACTTTCCTTGAGCAAGGCCCATATTGTATTTGACCTGACATTAACACTCATAATACAAAGTTTTGGCTTTATATCCACAAGTCTTCAGCATATTGCCTATCATACTGCAAGCTCTCAGTGTTTGAAAATGGAAAAGTAAGAGATAATACATTAGAAAGAAACTATGTATCAATATAAAACTGCACTGGCATTTGATTAAAAGCAATGAAGTTCAAACCTGATATAAAACATTTACATAATTGAATGTTAAAAGACTACTGCAAGAACAATGAAAGAATTGATCAGTTTTGGCAAATAATTATAAAGAAAGTCTTACTTTCTGCGAGCGGTTTTATAGCCGCTCGCAGGGGTATTCAACCTGAGGCCCATGGGCTGCATGTGGCTCAGAACGGCTATGAATGTGGTCCAGCACAAGATCATAAATTTACTTAAAACACTATAAGACTTTTTTGTGATTATGTGTTGCCATGTACTTAATGTGTGGCCCAAGACAATTCTTTTTCTTCCAGTGTGGCCCAGAGATGCCAAAAGGTTGGACATCCCTGCTAAAGTGATAAAAGACTGTTGATATAAGTATTCCTGGATTTAAGGAATTTTGCATTTCATATTAAAGAATGAAGTCTAACCAAAACTTTCATAAAGTCAAATCTCTAAAGATCTGAAATATATCATTAATCCTGATAGTAAGAGGACAAACAAAAGGCATACTTCAATTTTTTTTAAGGTAGTTGATTCTTGCTATGAAGCTCAATGCTTACTAACATCCACCTAATAATTACCTGTTGAGTATCTTCAATATGCTGGATATTACTGTAGTTTCCCCCTTATCCATGGTTTAGCTTTCCATTACTCATGGTCAACCATGGTCCAAAAATATTAAATGAAAAATTTCAGAAATAAACAATTCGTAAGGTTTAAATTGTGCCATTCTGGGTACCATGATGAAATCTTGCACGATTCTACTTTCCCCTCAACCATCCCTTCATCCAGGGTATCTACACTGTATGTGTGCTGACCACCCAATAGTCACTTAGCAGCTGTCTGTTATCAGATCAGCTATCAAGATACCACAGTGTTTATGTTCAAGTAACCCTTATGATAGCCTAACACTAGCTCATAATGCCTATGTCATTCACCTCACTTCATCTCATCACATGGGCACCGTATCATCTCACATCATCACAAGAAGGGTGAATACAGCCCTCGCTAGCCAGATGCCTCAGTTGGTTGGAACATGGTACAGTACATCGAAAGGCTGTGGGTTCCATCCCCAGTCAAGGCATGTATGGCAGGCAACCAATTGATGTCTCTGTGTCACATCGATGTTTCTCTTTCTCAAAAATCAATAAATATATCCTCAGGTGAGGATTTTTTTAAAAGGGTCAATACAGTACAACATATTTTGTGTGATAGAGACTAAACTCACGTAACTTTTATTACAGTATATTATAATCGTTTTATTTTATTAATAATTATTGTTGCTGATCTCTTTGTGAATAATTTACAAATTAAACTTTTTCATAGATATGTGGTATAGGTTAAGACATAGCATATAGAGTAGTGACTCTAGCTTTAATATGGATGCAAATCAAGCAAAAGGAATTAGTAAAAGGCAGCTAAATTTAAAATTCTTGAAGGAGCCCTGGCCGGGTGGCTCAGTTAGTTGCAGCATTATCTCATATATCAAAAGGTTGCTGGTTGGATCCCCAGTCAGGGCACCTATAGGAGGAAACCAATCAACGTTTCTCTCTGTCGCTTCCTTTCTCTCTCTCCAGAATTTTTTATCTCCTGGGGATAAAAAAAACATATCCCCAGGTGAAGACTAAAAATAATAATGATACAATAAAATTCTGGAAAGAGACTATGGACTGCAAATATAATTTGGGGAGTTATTACCACATAATGGTATTTCTTTAAACTTTGGGACTTGGTAAGATCACCAAGCAAGTGAGTACTGAAATAAGGGAAGGGTGAGGGTAGGGAAGAGAAGGACAGGGGCCTGAGACACTTCCAGATTAAGAGATCAGGGAAAAAAAGAATCTACAAAGGAGACTGAAAATGTATAACCAGTAAAGTTAAGTGAAAAACCAAGAGAATATAGTACCCTGGAAGCCAAGTAAGTAGAATCTAATTCAAGGAGGAAGGAGAATTTAACTGTCAAAAGGTGCTGGAAAGCAGAGGAAGCTGAGTATTGAGAATTAACCACTGGATTTAGTAACAGGGAGAGCACTGGTGACAGCAGCAGGGCAGTTTGGGTGGGAGACTGGAGAAAGATCTGACGAGTGCGGTAAAGAGAATGGGAGTAAAAGAACTGGATGTAGCAAGTATAGAAAAAATTCTTTTAAGAAATTCTACCACAAAAGGTACCACAGACATGGCAATGAAGCCAAGAACAGAAATACTACACAGGACTGTTTTTGTTTTTTTTTAATGGGAGAAATGAAAGCATGCCTACATATGGATGGGATGGTTTAGCAGATAGGGAGATACACAATGTCGAAGAGAGAAGAAAAGAACTGCTAAAATGAGGATCTTGAGTGGGTGGGAGGGAATGGGAGGTTGTGGACAAATGGGTGGAATGGATTTAGGAAAATGAAAAGTTCATCCATTGCACAGTGTTAAGAATTAGGGAGTAGTAGATAGTAGGAGGCAGGTAGATGCAAGGTTTTCTTCTGATGGCTTCAATTTTCTCAATGAAGTACAAGATAAGGTGAGAAGGAGGATTGGTGAGAAGGTGTTAGAAAGCTTGAAATAACAAAAGGTGGCATGAAACATTTTCCTGGGAAAATGGGAAAGTAAATGGAACACAGAAATATATACAGGGTCCAACAAAGTAAGGCCTGCTTGAGTGTGGTTGGTAAGGTTAGTGTAGGTATTAATAATTTATAGTTTTAATTTGAACATTTCACCTAAAATGCCACATGGTGTGCCTGAGTGTGATATTGTTATGTTATAGAATTACATGCTTCAGATTTTGTAATAAAAGATTTTGTAATAAAAAAGGGGTGTTATTTGTGCCAGACCCTATATATATACATACATACATATACATATACATATACATATACACATAAATTGTATACATGTAGATATATAAAATAACTGCTTGAGGCCTGGTTGGTGTGGCTCAGTGGGTTGAGTGAGAGCCTGGGAACCAAAGAGTCACCAGTTCAATTCCCAGACAAGGCACCTGTATAGGTTATGGGCCAGGTCCCCAGTAGGGGTTGCATGAGAGGCAACCACACATTGATGTTTTTCTCCTCTCCTTCCCTTCATCCTTCTATAAAAATAAATAAAACCTTAAAAATAAATAAATAAATAAATAAAATGGCTGCTTGATACAACTAAGGGCTCTCTGAGGCTTATGGTCTTTAATTCCAAGTGAGAATAGTCATCATGATATTCCTCAAGTCATGCTCAGTGGCACACATGGTTACATGGCACAGGCAGTCAATGGGGTTGAACAAGCAAGGAAAATGAAGCAAGGAAGGATAAGGGAATTGAGGTTTGATTATAATGGGGATAATTATAATGACTGATCATGAAATTTTAGCTGGCTAAATTGGAAGAAATAACAGTAAGGTGAGTAAGAAACAGTATAAAGGTCATAGGGTCAAGTGATTGGAGGTTGCTGAGTACAGAAATTGTTGGAATTGGGGTACTAAAGAGAAAACTAGGAGCTAATGGTTAGAGAACAAAATGCATAAAGCTGAGATTATGAGGGTAAGTTATTGGTAATGACAAGATTATTGGTAATGCCAAGATCTAGGTTATGCCATGGCTAAGGAAAAGTAAAAGACAAAATCATTAAAGAAGAGTTACTTAAGTTTCTAGGCCAATAAAATCAGACTAAATAAAAAAGCAGCTATAAATAAACTTGCAGGTTCCTTCCAATTTTTCAATAAAATTAAATTGCATACTATTATTATTAGGGATTATAACTAAATGATACTCCAAAATAAAAACAGCTACCAAAAATTTTGCACCTAATAGAAAACATGAAAACCATTTAAATAAAACCTGATTCATACATGACTATGTTGTCATTAAAAAATTCTCTTATGATAGCTTCCACAAGTTGATATGTATCATTATATACCATAAAAAGTAAGTTAATGTTACATTCTGCTTTATAAACCACTTGAAGAAAGCAAATAATCATTCTAATATATGTAACAATTGAACAAATCAGACCTTTGTTCTAGATCTTGATGTTGGAATTTATCAAATACATCATGTAAAAGAAAACTGTAGAACCATGCTAAATAAGGCATAATGCAAATTTATAAAAATTGAGACATTTTAAAAGTAGAACCCTGAAGAAAATGGTGTCTTTGGTTTATAGAAAAATTTCTTATAATTCACAAGTCAGCTTTATCCTAGTAAATAACTGTATTTTACAATATATAAAATAATGCTACGTAGTACCTCAATTACAATGAGATATAAAAAACAAAGACGAAAATAAAAACTTGAGTTCTTTTCCTAAACATGGAAATATATGTGGGGTAAGGCTAAAAAATATATTTTTGATCTGTGAGAAATTAATAATTGCTTAAGAATTATTTTAGCCCTGGCTGGCGTAGCTCAGTGGATTGAGCGTGGGCTGTGAACCAAAGCATCACAGGTTCGATTCCCAGTCAGGGCACATGCCTGGGTTGTAGGCCACGGCCCCCAAGCAACCGCACATTGATGTTTCTCTCACTCTCTCTCTTTCTCCCTCCCTATCCTCTCTAAAAATATATAAATAAAATCTTCAAAAAAAATTATTTTAAAATGAGCAATCTTTAGTGTTCATTGGAAGCTTCTGAAAATGTAAAATTTCTGTAACTATATGAATAAAGTAGGTAGTTCTGATGTCTCTGATCAATGTTCAAGTATTTCACCAAACAAACCTAGATCTTTAAAAAAAAATTCTATTGCAATTCAGGTTAAGTGTTAAACATAGACCCTATAACACGTATAGTAATTCTTCCTCATATTCTTATTACCAGGCTAAAACGCCAAAGTAAAGTTGATTATGATTCTATAACAATATCTCCCTTCTTCCCAATAGTAAATGTATTTACATTTAAAAATGGTTTGGTCAAAATACAACATGACGTGACTTCTTGTCCTCAGTCTTACTGTTCTTTTGTCCACCTTGTTTAAACTGAGTTATTTTTTAATTTTCCATGTAGAAAGGAAATAACTATTTGTTCCTTAAGTATATTTCTTTTATAATAAAGATTAACACTTTAAATAAAATATAGCTAGATCTTAGACTAGTTGGCATCTCCCTTATTATCTGGGATAATCATTAACTATCATTAACTAAATCATATTACTCTAATTCTGGTGCATCTTACATAGAGTTTTTCATAAGAAATGTAACTCAATTACCAATTGAGGCTAATTGCTGTTTCTGATATTTTTATGGAGGACACTTTTTGCATCATGATGCAGTGTGTGAGGAACAATGATGGTATATTCCTTCTGCACAGCAGTCACATAGGTCTGTTTTATATCTATAGAAAACCATTTTCACATGATAAGTATCAGACAGACAAATGCAAGCAATATGTGACTAGTCCTCCTGGACAAATTGTAGAGTTCAGCAGATTTTTCTGAGCAGAGTGCACAAGCCAATTGTATTAGCAAGCGTATTTAACAGAAACATGAAACACACAGTGTTTACTGATACAACAGAAATGTACAATTTCTTCTTTATTACTAACTCAAATACATTTTGAAATTAAGAGTAAATGGAAATATTTGGACATTTCTCATTTGTTCATGAACTGAAAATCAAATTTATAAATGCCCATCTTCCGTTTACCTTACTGCCGATGATTGACCGTACTTCATCATCTGGGGATGTGGGAGTCCCAGATATATCTGGATTACTATTACTAAGGCTCCGCGAACGATTTAAATTAAGGCTTGCAGGTCTCACAGCGGATCTAGCCATTGTGGCATAATGCACTGACCCTCCTAAACCTCCAGGACCTAGAGTTGTGTATAAAACAGCACACAATTAAACAAAGAAAATTAGTCAAGAAAGGACCTGAAAATAATCTCTGCTAGTTCACAAAATGTCACAAAGACCATGAATTGCTTTTGTTTTTAAATGAAAAATACTATAAATAAGAAAGAAAAACACTCAAGATCTAATGATAGATACACAAAGATATTCTGTTTAACAGCAGCTGGCGAAACCGTATGAATTTTAAGTATAATTCTCTTCAATGTTTCTATGATTATAGACTACATGTGCTATAAAAACCAAAAGTAACAGAAAACACTCACACACATTATCTTTAGTTAGCTATAGGTGTATGCAGGACCCGCAATGCCCCAGCTTAGTCTCTTCTTTTCTCCCTATCCCTCCTTGCTTTGACCCTTGATACAGTTATTGGAGGAACCGCCACTTTCCTGTCAACATCTCTTGAATGAGATTATGCTTTATTTCTCTATGTTCATCAGTGACAATTTGAACTCTAACAAAATGGTACCTTTATGATATACATATAAAAAATTAGCCTTGGCTAGTGTGGCTCAGTGGATTGAATGCTGGCCTGTGAACCAAAAGGTTGCTGGTTCAATTCCCAGTCAGGGCACATGCCTGGGTTGTAGGCCCAGTCCCAAGTTGAGGGTGTGTGAGAGGCAACCACACATTGATGCTTCTCTCCTTCTCTTTCTACCTCCCTTCTCCTCTCTCTGAAAATAAATAAATAAAACCTTTAAAAAATAAAAAAAAAATTAATTAAAAATAAAAAAACTAAAGATAATTCTCCTACAAGCCCACCTTATATAAAAAAGCAAAGGAACACTTTTCATCTACAATCAAGCCTGATACCACCATTCAACCATGTTCTATGAACATAAAAATACCCAGTGGCTGTATCCATAATTTATCTCCATTTTTCTTATTTAAAGAAATCTTTCTGAATATCATATTTGCAAATGATACATACCAGTCAACTAATTATAAGTCAGGTCAGCATATAAAAAAAGATGTTTTGCACAATCTGTGGTATTCTAACAGTGAATGAAAGAGTACATGGAGGAGTATTATATATAATCTACAATCACACACTCAGAGTCTCAAGTACCATAACTTTAAAAATCAAGATAGGAAACTATAAACCAGAATATAAATCAATTACAACTGTTTCTGCAATTAAAAAAAAATAATGACCTAAAACACAGAGTTAGATTACTGTTATGCTTAGTTTTCATAATGAATGCCATAATTATTTATCACCATTATTAATGTTCACCTTGCCAGTTGCTGGAAAGGGCACTTACCATAATCAGTAGTGATGAATGACATTTCGCACAGACAAGTACGTGAGCAGGTGGAAAGGTATGTAAAACATAACCATTAACTAACTAACTGAACAACTAGAGTTATTCAAACTAAGAAATCCACCACCTCCACCACCACCACCAATATGCAAAAAACAAGTAATCACTTAGGGCTCCAAAATTCTGAAAGGTTATATTCTTTTACTAACAATGGAGAAATCAGAACTGTTCTAAAGAATAACTTTTTCTAGTATTACAGGTTTCGTAGGGTCACCAGGGAACTACTGAACCACCATATTCCTTCTTGAATGTCCAACAGCAAGCACTCCAATGACCAATACGACATTCTCCCCTTCATAATAGGGAATGATGAAATGCTTCCAGAGACACAAGAAGTTATTTTCAAGGTTCATTTCCAAAAATTAATTCAACCACGAATTAACTCAAATTAAAGGAAGATGTGTAACCTATTTATCTTTTTAACTCCAGCACCTAGCATAGTCCATGGTACTTAGCAGGCATTCGACAAATGTTTGCTGTTCTAGTAAAGAGAAGAAATACCTGGTGATGGTGAATTAGGGTAAGTATTTGGTAAGCGAAAAACATAATAGATGTATGATGCAAGAAGACCATTCCTGCCATGCTGGTCATGATTTCCATCCAGATTTTTGTGAAGCCGGTTTATAATTGATGCCATCGCTTCAAAAGATGCTTGACCTAGATTAACTTTTTAAGAAATAGGAAAATATTTTTGCATTAACTTTTTTAGACTGTAAGTTTCAAATAGATCAAGGTTTTATCATCTCTATATGCATTAAGTATAGTGGTTATACACAGTAATTGTATAAAGATATTTGATATTGATTTTTTAAATTTATTTTTCAATTATGTTGATGTACAATGTTACATTAATTTAAGGTGTACAACATAGTGATTAAACAATCTGATGTTTAATGTCATTTTAATTATCTTATATTAAATGAATCAAAATTACTTTTATAAACAAAATAAGAAAACTCATTTTACTAATTTAACATGAAAATTGTATAAGTTTGCTTAATCAAAAAACAAAACATCATCCCACAGGTATCTATAATTTTGTAAAACAATACGAAGCTCACAGAAAAAAGAAATCTATCTTAGATATCACTTTTGAAAAGTAAATTCTCATTTTAAAGATGATGCTGAAAACCTAAATAGCACACAATGAGCACGTGACTTTTGTTTAAAAATCAAAATTATTAACAATAAATTATTAGTAAAAATATTAACTTAAGATAAGAAAATAGACTACTGAATAAGCAATTTGATTGAAATGACTAAGTATGTAAAAGGATTAGAAGGAGAAAAGACTAGAAAAAATAGTTGATGTAAAACTGTACAGCATTTTAAATGCCAGACTACAAAATACCTACTCATTCATTCAAGTCAATATATAACAAGAGTTTTGTTAAAACTGGGACATGCTGGTAGCACACTGAATAAATGGGTAAACCAAACAACCATTTTGAGCAATAGAGTCTCATATTCTACGATTTATTTAATTAAGACGGGAAATTATGAACTGATAATGAGGCTAATTAAGTTTCCTAAAAGTAGAGCAATCGCGTGAAGTGGTCATTTTGGAAGGATTTATCTGTACACACATGAACTAGCAGAGAGAGTGGACAGAGAAGCCTAAGCGGGGTTGAGCCACCCTGCTTGTGTTCCTGGTTAATCCTTTCCCTCACAGTAGCTATTCCAAGCCATCAAGATTCTCTCCAAAACTCAGGTCCACCTTATTCTCTTTTCAGCAATCTTGCTCTTTATCTCTCAGAAAAAATGTACAAAGCATAAAAGGCCACAAGTTTTTCCTACAAATTTATCAGAATCAAAATATTTTAACTTTGTTTCCAAAGGAAGCAGTTTTCCTCTCCCACATAAGAATGATCTAGCCATCTTCACTTTTGTCCTACAGGCTTGCTTCATTAATAAGACCCTCTCGCATTCCTGTATCTTAATTTTCCTTCCCCTTCCCCACAACTATTTTTCCAAAGCATTTAAACATGCTCAAATCTCTCCATTCTTACACCCTAATCAACCTTGCTTCCTCTTCTAAATAAATACCTTCAAAAGGTAGGAAATGCTTTTTGTATTCCTTTCATCACCTACTATTTACTTCATTCTTTGTAATCTGGTTTCTACTTTCACTATTTGACTAAAACTATTCTTGTTAATTTCACCAGTGGATACTTAAGTATAGATAGTACAGTGAATTTCAACCAGTGTGCCCCCTCAATTTTTTAAAAATATATTGTATTAATTATACTATTACAGTTGTCCCATCTCCCCCTTTTATTCCCCTCCACCCTGTACACCCCCTCCCAACCACATTCCCCCACCCCTTTAGTTCATGTCCATGGGTCATACATGTAAGTTCTTTGGCTTCTACATTTCCTACACTATTCTTAACCTCCCCTGTCTATTTTCTACCTACCATTTATGCTACTTATTCTCTGCACCTTTTCCCCCTCTCTCCACTTCCTACTCCCCGCTGATAACCCTCCATGTGATCTCCATTTCTGTGATTCTGCTCGTTGTTTGCTTAGTTTGTTTTTGTTTTAGGTGTGGTCATTAATAACTGTGAGTTTGTTGTCATTTTACTGTTCTTTAGATAAATCCCTTTAACATTTCATAAAATAAGGGCTTGGTGATGATGAACTCCTTTAACTTGACCTTATCTGGGAAGCACTTTATCTGCCCTTCCATTCTAAATGATAGCTTTGCTGGATAGAGTATCTTGGATGTAGGTCCTTGCCTTTCATGACTTAGAATACTTCTTTCCAGCCCCTTCTTGCCTGCAAGGTCTCTTTGGAGAAATCAGCTGACAGTCTTATGGGAACTCCTTTGTAGGTAACTGTCTCCTTTTCTCTTGCTGCTTTTAAGAGTCTCTCCTTATTTTTAATCTTGAGTAATGTAATTATGATGTGTCTTGGTGTGTTCCTCCTTGGGTCCAACTTCTTTGGGATTCTCTGAGCTTCCTGGACTTCCTGGAAGTCTATTTCCTTTGCCAGCTTGGGGAAGTTCTCTTTCATTATTTTTTCAAATAAGTTTTCCATTTCTTGCTCTTCCTCTTCTCCTTCTGGCACCCCTATGATTCAGATGTTGGAATGTTTAAAGATGTCGTGGAGGTTCCTTAGTCTCTCCTCATTTTTTTTGAATTCTTATTTCTTCATTCTTTTCTGGTTGAACTTTTCTTTCTTCCTTCTGGTCCACCTAGTTGATTTGAGTCCCAGTTTCCTGTCACTGTTAGTTCCCTTTACATTTTCCTTTATTTCACTTAGCATAGCCTTCATTTTTTCATCTAATTTGCAGCCATATTCAACCAATTCTGTGAGCATCCTGATAACCAGTGTTTTGAACTGTATATCTGATAGGTTGGCTATCTCTTCATCACTTAGTTGTATTTTTCCTGGAGCTTTGATCTGTTCTTTCATTTGGGCCATATTTTTTGTCTTGGCACACCCGTTATGTATTAAGGGGTGGAACCTTAGGTGTTCACCAGGGTGGAGTAACCCACATTGCTGTATGTTGGGGAGGGGTCCGAGAGGGAACAATGGTGCTTGCTCTGCTCTCTGCCGGCTTTCAGTCACTTCCCCCGATTCCCACAATCAAATTGGCCCCTTCTGGTGCTGATTCCTGTGTGGGTAGGTCTGTGTACATTCTAGGACCTTGTGGATCTCTCCAACGAACTCTCCTGTGAGGCTGGGAGTTCCTCCACTGGGGCCTCAACCCCCCACTGGCGTTTTCAATCAGAGGTTTTGAGGCTTTATTTCCCCGTGCTAGAGCTCTGGGTTGCATGGTCTGTCTCACTCCCCAGTTGTTCCTCCCAGTTTATCTGCATGTGAATGTGGAACCACCCTCTCCACCAGCCCCGCCTCGCTGGGTCCGCCAGCCACCACCTTACCCGCACCAGTCCTCCAGCCTTGCCCCAAGTCCTCTCTGCCTGGCCGCCCATCTCCATCCCTCCTACCAGTCTGGATGAATGTTTCTTCTTTAACTCCTTGGTTGTCGGTCTTCCATACCATTAACTTTTCTGTCAGTTCTGGTTGTTGTTTTTTTTAAATTGTTGTTGTCCTTGTTTTGGTTGTGTGAGGAGGCACAGTGTGTCTACCTACGCCTCAATCTTGGCCAGATGTCTGCTTTTTGGTTTTTTCCCAAGAATTTTTAAAACATGAAATACCTGAATATTTACTCAGGGGCACTGAATTCTTTTCCCTTAGAAAAAAAAAAGTCAACAGCCAACACAACAATAGCCGTCCAGTGTGAATGAATCAATATTATACATTCTTTTTTTTTTTTGTAAGACAGGGAAAAAAATATATTTTTGTGTGCCCAGAATTTTAGTATTTAGTTTATGTGTGCCATGAAATTAAAAAGGCTGACAATCATTGATACAGTAGATAAGAACAGGACTTTGGAGTCAGTTGCTTGGGTTTGAATTCTTAGGCAACTTTTTAAAAGTATTATGCTCACCACTTCATTCATGAAATGGTACCTAATGATACCTATACACAGACTTGTGAGGATTTCATACATTACTATAAATAAAGCACATAGCACTATCCCTGGTACAGAGTAAGTGCTATGCAAATATTCTTTACCATTTTTAATATTATAGATTATAACCTATAATCTATAGATTTTACAGCAGTGTTAACATTTTTTCCTTAAAATCTCCTAAGACTACCGTAATGGCACTCTACAGTATCACTTAACCTTACCTCTCTCTCCATCCTACCATCACCTGTCTTTCATCAGGACCTCATAGGGCTTCTATGAAATATTACAAGACTCCCAATTTGTCTCCATGACTCCAGATTTTCCCACTTTTAACCCATTTCTATGCAACACAGTCATCTTTATGAAAGCCAAAGTGGGTCACATTACTTCCCTAATTAAGACCAGACCCTTCAAAGGCTATTGATTCTTTACGGAATCATAATCCCAATTATCTGAAATGTCATAGAAGACCTTACTTCATCATCCCCACCACCTATCATCTTTAATCACCAACCTTCCAATTTCTAATACTCATAATTCCCCCAGCACTTCCAGGTACAACTGCATACTGTGCACATGCTGTACCTCCCCCGGACTAGCTGTTTACTCATCAGGCTCCTACTCACCTTTAAATGCTCTAGCCAAGAATTACTTCTACTTACAAGTCTCCCCTAAAAAAATCCCAAGGTATTGAATACTCCTTTCCCACTTAACACAGAATTTCTATAACAGGTTAGCTGAAATTTCTTATAAGCTCAACTACTTTGCAAGATTTAGGTGGAAGATGTTACCAAAAGTAGAGGAATAAATATTGAAAAAAGAGTGGGAAACAAAAATACCTCTCCTTCTAGAACATAAAAGAGAAAAAGAACCTAGAGATTTTGAGTTAATGAAAGAAAGAACAGCTGTATGAAATAGAGAATACCAGATGAGGGGAAATGTAAACTAGGTGTATTATATGTCATATAAATGCAGAGTGGTTTATTTTGCCTGTTTCCCTAACTAGTCTGTGAGATCCTTAAAATCAGGAACCATGCCTTGGACAGTGCCTATCAGTGTCTAGGTACATTGAAGAGTCCAGCTCCAATATTACAAATGTGGCAATATTGGTGGGTGTGAATGGAGCTGGGTGTGCTTAAAAAATACTTAGTGAGTAAGTACATTTATTTCCGTAATTTGAGTAGAACTCTATATGACATATTTTATAAAAAACAAAAGAAAGTTACAATAATTTTGATATTAGCAATAAGTAAATAACCCACCCCCACCACCAAATATCAAATGCAGTTCTTATAAAGAGCAAACAGGAATCATGGTTCTATTTCTGCAAAAGTTAGAAATATCAAGTTATAAATTTTATGATTCCCCAAACATAAGTACATTACCTATTTGGCCAGCAATGACAGGAGGTCTAACAACTAAGAGTATCAGTTTATCAAGCAGAAGATGAAGAAATCGGACCACTGGTTCCAACTGAGATGAATTCAGTGCTGAAATACTGCTCTTCAATTCATTTTCTAAGTTATTTTCCATGATTCGCATGTCACCAATTCGGACTGGAAACATGTGTTCATCCAGAGCATTGACCAGAGCAAAAAACTTGTCAAGATAAGGATCCTAAAACAAAGAATAAGCAAAAACACCACACAATTATAATTCTGTACATTCCCCAAACTATGAACCACTAATAAAACATCTCACCTAAATTAATAATACAAAAAAGTACACATCGACATGTACAAGCATTGTTTCTAAATTAAACACTGCATCTACAGGGTGGGGCACATTTAGGTTTACAACTGTTCATTTAAAAAACAATACAATAATTAATGTGTAATAATACAAGAATAAACTCTGTTTTTCACAGACAACTGTAAACCTATTTTTGCCCCATCCTGTATTTTCATTTATTATGGTAAAGTAGCCACTTGAAATACTACTGATTATTCAACAAATCTCCTGATATTAATTAAGACTCTTTTTCCCAGTATGAGTCTGCCTTACTGTTTTAAATTCGTTGTTGTGATAGGTTGTTAGTAACCTACCTGTGTCCATTTGCTAATTTATTGCCTCTCAGCTCCATTCACACCCACCAATATTGCCACATTTGTAATATTGGAGCTGGACTCTTCAAACTGCGTTTTTCCTTTGCCAGGTAGCTTGTGGTTAGGCTCTGACAACAGAGGTATGGGAAGCAGTCAACCTGGCCTGAGGAATTAGCAGGGACTTTTCTTCTTCCTTTCATTTTTTCTGATGGTGACTAGGAGATGTGAATGTTATGGCTCAGAGGTGAGGGAGTTGGGCAGCAGTGTTGACCACAGTACTGATGGCTACTGTAGGTCTCCAGCAGGGGCCGTCCACCAAGTTTCTTCAATACCACAGTGTGGCATGCGGTGTGCTCCTGTAGAAGCAGTCTGATTCAGGGGTCTGATTCTCAGCATGTGGGATCCTCCTCTAGGTTTCTAAATTGCTTCGTTATCATTTTCTGCAACTGCTATCTCTGTTACAATCACAGAATTCTCTTACCCCATTTAGTAGTGAATCAATCACCTTTAACCTAGCTAACAATTATTTATTATATATAAATGTCCTCCATTCAAATTACAGGCAATTTCCACCTCCTGACTAAATCCTGACTATTATTTAACCTCCTCTACACTAACAGAACCAATCTTATTAAAAGCAGTAAGTACCCAGTCCCAGGATATATGCTTATTCTCCCAGCCTCCATTATACCTAGAGATGACCATGTGCTATAGTTCTAACCAGTGAGATGTGAGCAAAAGTCTATTGGCACTCTGGGAAGACTTTCACTTAGTTAACAATAAAAATACACTTTAAGAAAAGGTAGTAATGCTGAACAGCATCACATTTATAATTCTAATAATGTTCTAATATGTTATGTATGTTTCAAATGAGTAAAAAAATAATTCTATGGAGTTCTAACTATACATCCAATAATTTCAAAGATCTATAAGCAAGGTATAAAACACGATAAAAACATTTGTTGTCTTTAATTAATCCTTTAAAAAAGATTATAATAAATGATGACATTGTTTCATGCAGTTACAAAAGTTACAAATTTTTCAATATTAGTCATTAGGACTGCGAAGGCCAGGGTGCTATACTGTAGATTTCCACTTTATTCTTCCCCTACATTCCATAGCTTCTACATGACCTATACAACATATTTTGCCCCAAATCTTTCTTTGTCACATAAAGACAACACACGTATGTGCCTCCATAAAAACAAAGTTAGGAGTAAGACCTAATCTTACTATCAACTCTAAAGAGAGAATAAAATAAAGCCTGAAAAATAATATACTTGTATATTTAAGAAGATATATAATGTGACACTAAGAATACTTCTTTTTTTTAAGATTTTATTTATTTATTTTTTAGAGAGGGAAGGGAGGGAGAAAGAGAGAGAGAAACATCAATGTGCTGGGGGCTGTGGCCTGCAATCCAGGCATGTGCCCTGACTGGGAATCGAACCTGTGATGCTTTAGTTCGCAGCCCATGCTCAATCCACTGAGCTATGCCCGCCAGGGCTTCTAAGAATACTTCTATTAAGGGAAAGAGTATGTTTCAACTACACAGTATAATGTCAATCTTATTATCAGAAGCATAAGGACTACAGGAAACACAGGACACATTCAGTAACAAGAGATGAAAAACTCCACTGAAGCCATTCTTCAACTGGTATCTTCTCTGTACTGCTAAAAAAAAAACAAAAAAAAAAAAACAAAAAAACAACCTCTCTTGTTACAGTTTTAAAACATAGTATAAAAGTACTTGGTCTTCTTATTTTTCCCTATCTCACTATGCAGAAAAGAGCTAACATGGGAAGAAAGCTTAATGTGAAAGGCTTGCTCACAAGGGGAGGCCCTGGCTGGCACCTGGGAACTGGGATTTCAGGAGAGTTCCTACTGATAGGAATGCCTAAACTGTGCTAACAATAAGGTTTATGCTGAACACCTGCTTTCCTTCTGGAACTCAAGAATTTTGGTATGCATTAGGCAGAGGGTGCTTATGTGACAAATCCATAGTAAAAACCCTGGGAACTGAGTAATAGGCTCCCATGATGGACAACATCAACTTGACTTATGTGATTCCACTAGGAAATGACTCTTGGAAGCTTTCATCTTGTTCCTTCTGGACTCGACTTCTTCTTTCTTAGCCAGTTTTGCTGCATGTACTTCACTAAAATAAATCATAGCTGTGAGTATGACTATATGCTGAGTCCTGTGAGGTCTGCTTTAAAAAAAATCATTAAATTTAAGGGGGCCTTAGGAACCCCTGCAAACCAGCCCTTCCCCTTTCAAGTTGGAGAAACCCTGAATTTCATTTTAAAAAACTTATCTCTTTCCACTCTACCTTTTCTCCCAGGAAAATCATGTTTACCAATATAGTTTTAATTATCACATTTTTTCTGTTAGCCCTAATCTTAAACACCAAACTAATTACATCTGCCTATAGGACACCTTTATCTGACATGCCCAGACATGTTAAACTCAACAGGCTCAAAAATAAACTCACTATGATTCCACAACTGCTCTCCTTTAGCAATTGCTCCCAAATTTACTTCTCTCACGTTTTCTATTTAGGTTAGAAATCACCATCTACCTGAACTCTGAACTCTAAAGCATTCAAGTTCCTTCATAATCTTTTACGAACTTGGTCTTCCATTCTCACCTATCATGATTTCCCATGAACTTTAATTTCCATTCACACCAGATTACTTGCTTGCCCTTAAACAGATTACCATTTCTTTGCACTTGCTTTTTATCGTGTGAGTTGCCCACCTTCTCTCTCGGTATGGTAAGTGCCTACTTATCAATGCAACACCTCAGTTTCTAGCTAAACAAATAACTCTCTCCTCTGAACTTGATTTAGTTCATATGTCTAACATATTACTACTTTTATTGTATTGCAATTATTTTTACATTTCTCCCTATTGTAAGGTCCTTGAAGGGAACTCTCTTTCCTTGACAGGCAACAACCACTCTGACCTCATGAAGCTTAGAATCTGATGGAAGAGAGAACCAATAAACAAATGCATATGTATATATGTATATGCACACACACACAGACACACAGAAAGGGTGAGAGAAAGAGGAAGTGGGAGAGCGCACTAGAGCAAAAGGCAGTAGTAAGTGCAGGGTAAAATACAGAGTAATGGGGCTGCTGTGTCTAAGTCACCAGAAAAGGCCCCTCTGGGATGAGGAGAAGCCTTAATGAAGAGAGGTGAAATGAACATCGAGAGGAAAAGCATTCCAGATGGAGAGAGTAAAGGCTTTACATATTCAAGAAATACAGTGAAGAATATGGAGTAAATGACCCCTAAGAACTCTTTCCAATTGAAATATCTGAGTCTATAAGAAGTAAAATATGTTGGATGATGCTTTTTCAACTCTAAAGTACTGCTATGTACCAGAAACTCAGGGGCAAAAATTACTTAATTGTTCAAAGTGATGTCAATAACATTTTAAAAAGTGAAATATTTGCTTTCGTTGACATTAACAATTTGTTGATAAAAAGTAACTTCTGAATCGATACATTTTTAACTGTCTTATACTCCCATAAGTCTTACAGCAGATAACAAAACTGATTTAAGTACTAGACAATATGTTCAATTCATTCAAGTGAAATTTGATCATTAAAAATTATTAAAACTCACTTACTTGTGTATGGACAGATGAAACAGCAACAACTTCAACATTAAAAACACCTTTGTGATTATCTACCCATTTCATGCCAGGTAGAGGAACCTATGAGATATAAAGTACAATGATCACAGCTACTTAAGTTGATTATGAACTCTGAAAAGAAATTTAAAAATTACGATTATCTCAATGAGAAAAAAATACTATGAAATATATTTTTATGCATTGTAAGTAATGTAAAATTTGTGTTTTATTCTTATTACAAAATCAATGTTTTCTAGAAAAGAATTAAAAGGCTCAAAGAGCAAAGAGCAGAAAATATACACTCAAAATTCTATCTTCCCAGAGACATATCCTTTTACATCACTCCAAATCTTCCTCTATGCAAATGTATTTTTATTCACACTCTTACATAGGTGACATCAAAGATATTACTTTGCTACCTGTTTTTCACATATTGTGAATCTCTTTTCATGTCCATATATAATTTTTAATGGTTTATAATATTCTGTTTTCTTTATTTCAAACACTCCTGTTGTGTTTTAAAGGGGTTTAAAATATGCACCTAGGAAGTTTGTTTTAAAGATGAGAAAATATATTTTCTTTTGCTAGGAATTAATTAAAATTATGTAATAAAATCTTATTTTTAAAAGAGAGTATATCATTTCTCTCAATTGGCTGCTAAGTACTGCTAAAAACCCTGAACATGGAAGATAAAATAAACATAAAGACTGAAAGGTGCCCAAAAGACTGCAGGCAGTCTAGGAACTTCAGGGTGGGAGGAACTATAAGGCAGTAGTATTTCCTGGGTTTTATTTTTGCCTCGTATATCCTGGACTAGGTGCTAGAGCCAGAAATGCCACAGGAGCTAACCAAAAAAATGTTCCAAGAGAAGCTGCTCTCTTTAGTCAAAACAGATAATTGCCCTATTTGGTTAAAAACAAACTGCAGTTCCACTCCGCCTCTGTAGGCTGTGGGGAGCCTGGATCTCCACCCTCAGCTGGCTGTAAAGCGATGCTCCATCCCCCCACCTCCCCACACACATGGCATGGTATCAGAGAAGAGAGTGGTAGGGGAGCTAATCCCAGTCCAGTGGTACCCCCACCAACTGTGGTGTCAGTGAAAAAGGAAAGCAGTAACAAGGAGCTCCATCCCCCCACAGCCAGTGAGGTGTAAGCAGAGGCCTAGAGGAGAACCTGAGATCCCACCTCTGTCCAGTAATAAGCTCTCACCCCAATACATTGCAAGGAATGTGGACCTTTACCTGGCAACAGTCTCCACCCCCACAGCAAAACACAGACATAAATAAGACCTAGAGTCATAATATCCAAAATGTTCACAATATAATTTAACAAATCACACATCATACCTAGAACCTAGAAAATTTCAAATGAGAAAGACAATAGACCTAATACTGAGATGACACAGCTGTTGGATAGGTGTGACAGAATTTGAAAGCAGTCATCATTTTTTAAAAAACTTCAGTGAACAATTATGAATATCTGTGAAACAAATGACAAAAATAGAAGTCTCAGCAAATAATTAAAACTAAAAAAATTTAAAAAAGGATTTATTTTCCATGGTCTCATATTTTTATGTGCAGAAAAGAAAACCAAATAAAGTTAGTTTCCTGTTAAATAACATAAATATACTTATTTATGGTATATTTATGGTATATTTATACCATAAATATAAAATGCAATGTCTCTACTGAAGCAAATAATATAGGTTTAGAAACATTGGGGGGGAGAGTTGGTGAATTGAAACTACTCAAAACAAGAAAAAGTACTAACTCTTTCAACCCAAAATACTGTTTTGAATGATAAAAAAAACAGGATACATGAGTAAAATGTGAACACATACTTCTTTAAACATAGCGGTTCTCAAAATCTGAACTAAGGATCAGCAACATAAACACCATCTAAGCACTTGTTAGAAATGTAAATACCTGACCCCCAATCCAGACCTACTGCATCAGAAACTGGGGGTAGGAGAGAGGAAGGTTCAACAACCGGTGTTACAGCAAAACTCTCCAGGTGACTTGATGCTTGCTAAAGTAACAACTGCTGTCCCAAAGCATTCTAACAAGCAGTGTGGTAAAAGGAATGGCATAATAGTAGCAAACACTACTTTAATACTTTTTAGGTGCCTAGCATCATTCTAAATGTTCTGCATACCATAAATCATTCAATCACCATCATATACTTTATTATAAATATTAATTATTCTCCTCAATTTACAGATGAGAAAATTCAGGCACAGAGAGTGTCTCAGTCAACTTGGGCTGCTATTATAAAATACCACACTCTGGGTGGCTGAAACAACAGAAACTTATTTTCTCACAGTCTGGAGACTGAAAGTCCAAGATCAAGGCACCAACATGTCTGTGTCTGGTGAGAACCTCTTCCTAGCTTGCAGATGGCCAATTTCTCACTTTGTCCTCATAAGAGAGAGAACAAGATCTTTGGTGTCTCTTTTTATATCTAATTCTACCATGAAACCCCACCCTCATGACCTCATCTAAGCTTAATTCCCTCACAAAATCCAGATCTCCAAACACTATCACATGTGAAGGTGAGGGCTTCAGCATACAAATTTGTGGGGTGGGGGACACAATTCAGTCCATAGCTGAGAGATTACAAAACTTACCCAAGGTCACACAAATGGAAGCGATGAAGTCAAGAGTAAAACCCTGGAAGTTATACTATATTGCCTTTCAAAGTATATGAGGTTAAAAACAACAAAATCTTTCACAATCCCACACCCCTTCAAGAACTAACTTTGCTAAATTTGATGTATATTTTCCTAAGTACTTCCTACACAACTGCTGATGTAGACCTGTATACTAAGTTTGGTTGTTACTATATTGCTTGTTTTTGTTTTATTATGAATATCCTATTAGGATATTTAAATCTGTATCATTCTTCTTACTACTGTACCATTCATTGTATGGGTGTACAAAATTTTAATTAAACATTAAACCTTTGGCCAATACCCAGGTAATTTCCACGTTTTATCTTTTGCTAATACTAATAATTTTGTGAACCTTTTCTATTTAATTCAAACAACAAATATTTACTGAAGTCTCTACCTAGTTTTCTAAGTTCTGGGGTTTCATGGTAAACATAAAGTCTGCTCTCAGGCAGCTTACCAACCATGTAGCAAGGGACAGAGAAAAACAAGTAAATAAATAATTTCAGATAGTGATAAGTATTAGGTAAATAAAATTGGATTAGAATGATAGAGTATATCAGCAGTGTGGAGGAAGGTCTGAAAATTCATGAAGTGAGGAAAGACTTTTCTGAGATGTTCTTTTATATATAATTCAGATAACGAGAAGAATCTAGCCCTGTGAGGAACAGGAAGGGAAACATGATGATTCAAAAGCCTAGAGGCACAAAAAAGTTTGGAAAAAGCTCTGAGTACCGAGATGAGGCTGCAGTTATGGTGAAAGATGGTGCTGGAGAGGTGGTCCAGCCCTCAGATCATTAAGAGATCTGTAAGTCACAAGGGAAAAATCTAGATTACATTTTAAGAACAACAAAAGACCAGAGGAATATTTTGTTTTGATCACACACACAAACACCCCCACTAAATCTTGGTGACACAATCCTTAATGTAAAAAACAAGACCTAGAGGATTATATAAAGAATAATAACTTTTTGTTAAATTCATAAAATAAGCAAAGTAAAAAATGTATTCTTTAGTCATACATATATCTCAGTTAAAAAGTTGTTTTATGACACCAGTTTTTAAAACAATGTGAATATACTTAATGCCACAGAACTGCATACTTTATTTTTTAAAATATATTTTATTGATTATTACAGTTGTCCCATTTTCCCCCTTCACTCCCCTCTATCCTGCACACCCTCTCCCACCCACATTCCCCCCTTTAGTTCATGTCCATGTGTCATAAGTTCTTTAGCTTCTACGTTTCCCATACTATTCTTGCCCTCCCCTATCTATCTATTTTCTACCTACTATCTATGCTATTTCTCCATACCTTTTCCCCCTTTCTCCTCCTCCCACTCTCCTGTTGCTAACCCTCCATGTGATCTCCATTTCTGTGGTTCTGCTCCTGTTCTAGTTGTTTGCTTAGTTTGTTTTTGTTTTTGTTTTAGGTGTGGTTGTTAATAATTGTGAGTTTGCTGTCATTTTACTATACATGTTTTTTTATCTTCTTTTTCTTAGATAAGTCCCTTTAACATTTCATATAATAAGGCCTTGGTGATGATGAACTCCTTTAACTTGACCTTATCTGAGAAGCACTTTATCTGCCCTTCCATTCTAAATGAAAGCTTTGCTGGATAGAGTCATCTTGGATGTAGGTCCTTGCCTTTCATGACCTGGAATACTTCTTTCCAGCCCCTTCTTGCCTGCAAGGTCTCTTTGGAGAAATCAGCTGAGAGTCTTATGGGAACTCCTTTGTAGGTAACTGTCTCCTTTTCTCTTGCTGCTTCTAGGATTCTCTCCTTCATTTTTACCTTGGCTAATGTAATTATGATGTGCTTTGGTGTGTTCCTCCTTGGGTCCAACTTCTTTGGGATTCTCTGAGTTTCCTGGACTTCCTGGACTTTCCTTTGCCAGACTGGGGAACTTCTTCTTTATTATTTGTTCAAATAACTTTTCCATTTGTTGCTCTTCCTCTTCTCCTTCTGGTATTCCTATAATTTGGATGTTCGAATGTTTAAAGATGTCCTGGAAGTTCCTAAGCCTCTCCTCATTTTTTGAATTCTTGTTGCTTCATTCTTTTCTGTTTGGTTGTTTCTTCCTTCCTTCTGGTCCCCTCCATTGATCTGAGTCCCAGTTTTCTTCCCATCACTATTGGTTCCCTGTGCATTTTCCTTCATTTCACTCAGCATAGCCTTCATTTTTTCATCTAATTTGCAACCAAAATCAACCAATTCTGTGAGCATCCTAATCACCAGTGCTTTGAACTGGGCATCTGATAGGTTGGCTATCTCTTGGTCGCTTATTTGTATTTGCTGTGGCGCTTTGATCTGTTCTTCCGTTTGGGTCATTTTTTTTTGTCTTGATGCACCTGTTATGTATAAGGGGCGGAGCCCTAGGTGTTCACCAGGGCGGGGCAACCCAGTTGCTGG